TATAAAGATTGCCAGAACATAAGATACTACCAAGACCAACTACTAATTACTAACAGTGACTAAGAAGTAATATTTGGTGTATATATACTCACTGCTTTGGAAATCTATACTTATATGACTGCATAACATTACCTTATACTTATCTTGTACCCATTAAGTGAATTATTGCCTTATTAATTTGTTTTTATATATTTATATATATAGAATCAGAGATATAGATTTTATTATAGCTAAATATAATTTCTATTAATTTGTCTTTATATAGTTAGAATCTCAATGATTTGTTAATTTGTCTTAATACAACTAGAATCAAAGATCCGGATTATATTATACTTATCATAGCTATATTATAATTACAAAAGTATATCCATATACGTATGTTATATAAATTAAAATAAATTGGATAAATTAGATAAGTAAGATAAATATTTAGACAATTGCTGAAGGAATCTACGTTTGACATTTGATTGCATAGTATGACTTTATTTATAAGAAGTGTATATTAATAGATTAAGTGATATATTAATTTGATCTATATATAGTTAGTATTAAAGATTTAGTCCATAGTATATTAGATACATTTATATTAACTACATCCCTTTACCTTCTGAGAGAAATCATATTGCACTTACTCCCTACTTACTAATATACCACTTACTCAAATACTTAATACCAGGGAGAATTAGCTGATGGATTGCTAGAACGTTACACTTTTCCCTCGACCCTCCCACTTAGCTTCCCATGCTGATTGATTTATAAGTACAAAGGAGCCTGGAAAAAAGAGAAAAATAAATTTGGGTGAAATTTTAAAACAGACCCTGAAATATTGACCAGTATATGAAAATCTGGGAAAGAATAAAAAAAGAGATAATAATGGCGACCACAAGTATAACGACAACAGCTAAAATAAGTAAGAAAACACCATCGGGCCAAATGATACTTATGACCTCACCAGCTCAATAGAAAGTAATTGAAACCACAGAAAAGGAGAAGATGAGTCCTGCCCTACAGAACATCCACTCCGCATTAGCAATGATCCAGGAAGGCATGAACAGAATGCAGGAAACCATGGCACATAATCATGAAGAGACCAAGAAAAATCATGAAGAATTGAGGTCAGATGTGAGTGAAATTAAAGATAACATCAAAAATATGGATGAGAAGATAGAACAAATTCAGCAAAACATAACAGAAAACGAGCAGAGGATCCAAAAGGTGGAAGAAAGAGTAGAATATGCGACCAACAGAATGGAAAGAATGGAACAAGATCAAGGGGCATTTAATAAGGAAACTGAGGACGCGTTAACCTATCTGGAAATGGAAAAGGCATCATTCTACTTACGGTTTCAAAATGTAGAAGAGCAGAAGGATGAGGATCTAAGTGAAATAATGATTGAGATACTGGCAAAGGCAACCCAGGTGGATAAGGATGAACTGCGAAACGGAATGGATGAAATATATAGGGTGTACACGAACTACGCAAGAAGAAACAAATTACCCAAAGAAATTCACATAAGATTCACGAAAAAATCTATTAAGGAAGAGATCTACAGGAAGATGAGGGAAGAGACAATCATGCATAAGGGAAGAGAAATCATAACTCTCAAACAAATACCAAGAAGAACGAGAGATCAAAGAAGAAATTATAATTTCCTGACCACCCAGCTAAATAAATTTAAAATAAAATTCCGCTGGCTACTACCGGAAGGCCTACTTATCTCCTGGGATGAAAGAAAGTACAAGATTGATAATCTGGAAAAGGCTCAAGAATTCTTTGACCAGCACTTTACAATGGAAGAGGAACAGGAGACAAGGAGAGAAGCGGAACCCGGGACACGGCGGATGGAGAAGGAAGAAAAAGATCAGGAAGAGGCAAAAAGATTGGAGAGAGAAAGAATGGAGAGAGAGGGAGCGAGGGAAAAGACTCAAAGAGTTACCAGAAACACAGCAAAGTTGAAAATCACAAATAGATAAACTCGATAGAGATGGAAGGAGAAATAAAAATTATATCAATTAATATAAACGGACTCAACTCCCCAAGGAAAAGGAAATATATATTTACGAAATTGCAAAAATTGGACTTAGATGTGATAACTTTACAAGAAGTACACATTAAAAGACAGCAACAAATATTGTTGGAGAATCAAAAATTAGGAAAATTATTCACATCCCTAGGAGATAATAAGAAGAGAGGAGTGGCAACTTATGTCAAAAACCATTTAAAAGCTAAACAGATATATACAGATTCGGAAGGACGTATTTTAATAACTGAAATACAAACAGAAACAAGGAAAATATTGCTAGCTTCTATCTATGTACCTAATGGAAACCAGAGAGAATTTTACAAGAAACTACATGATACAATTAAAGATTTGGAGTACGAAAATATCTGTGTTGTCGGACACTTCAACGCAATCGTGAATATACAAGATGACTATCGAAGTAATAAACAAAGTAAGACTCGAAAAAGAATCTTACCGGATACATTTAAGGATATGACTGAAGAATTGCAATTACATGATGGATGGAGAGAGGCCAACAAACAAACCAAACAATATACCTTCTACTCAAACCCACACCAGTCATGGTCTCGGATTGACATGGCCTGGATGACGCCAGACCTCAGGAAGGATCTACAAGACATTGAAATTATACCGAATACATGGGCCGACCATAATCCTATAAAAATAACATGGAGAGGACAGCGAAAGCAGAAGAGGTGGATGATGGACACCGGAATAATAAAAGATAGGGATTATGTGCAGATGATGGAGAACGAACTTAGAATATTTTATCAAATAAACACAAAGGAGCAGACTTCAGTACAGAATCTGTGGGACACTATTAAGGCCTATATAAGAGGCCTCACAATAGCATACACAGCAATAAAGCAGGTCTTTCTGTGTCCTTCATGATTTCATGTTAGCGCTGAAAGAGATCATAATTTGGAACGCTGACATCCGGCCCCTCTCCCTTCACTTCTCCGACGTAACCTGCCCCATAGGAAAAACACAAGATAATTATCATTATCCCCTTCTTTGCTGCGAATCCCCCCCCTCCTGGCTTTCCCGGGTGGTCTGCATGGAATTTTGCTATAAGGCGGTCAGCTTGGATGTTTGAACTCTTCACCCAGGAAGCCTCTGACAACGGGTAGCCCTTCCATTTAATTAAGTATTGGAGGCGCCCCCTGTGCCATCTTGAGTCAAGAATTCGCTGCACTTCGTAGTGAGTTTGGCCCCCAACAACCAGGGGCCCAGGGGGCGCACGTGGCATCAGCCTTAAGGTAGACCCCACTACAGGTTTCAGAAGGCTACTGTGAAAAACGGGGTGAATCTTCCCCAAGAGTCGTGGCAACTGTAGTTGTACTGTAACGGGGTTATTTTTACTATAGGGAACGGTCCTATAAATTTCGGGCCTAATTTCTTACTCGGGAGTCTAAGTCTCAAGTACTTGGTGGAAAGGTAGACTTTCTCTCCCAACTGAAATGGTCTTTGGGGAGTTCGGTGCTTGTCTGCTTGTTTCTTATAAGATTGAGCCACCTTGGCCAACGCCCTCTTGACATTCTCCCAAGTTTCTCTCAACATTGCCATCCAGTCGGTCAAGCTGACTGAGGAAGGGGGCTCCCTCGGGTACTCTGGCATGGGGACAAAGTCCATGCCACTCACTACTTTGAACGGGGTTAGCCCCGTGCTGCTATGGACAGCATTATTATATGCGACCTCCGCAAAAGATAGGAGGTCTGCCCAATTGGACTGCTGGTAGTCGATGTAGCATCTTAAATACTGTTCTATCATAGCGTTCAGTCTTTCTCTACCCTCTCCTCTCTGTGCTGGGCTCTGTAGGGCCGGCCTTGGTGTTGATAGTCCTCTGCCTCGTCTCTCATCCTGGGGTAGGGAGGTGCTGCCTCATCTAGGCTTCGCTGCTTGCTGGGAGGGGGGGGACCCATGGATGCGTTGTTGGGCTCCTCCTCCTCCTGCTGTGGAGGGGGGGAAGGGCTGCGCCTTGGTCTACAGATTCTTGGATCAACAGCCCAGACTGGTTCTCTCTTTTCTTTGGGTATGCAGGATGGCCCCTCCTCCTGAAGGGTGGCACGGTCAAATTTCTCTTTTAACTCATCTATGGGGCTTTCGAGTGGCTTCCTTAGAATTTCTTGGCGCTTAGTTTGTTTTCTGGCTTGTTCCCATTCCCACAGCCAGGATGCCCTGCCCAATTCACTTAGGGGTTTCCCTTTGTCTTTTACGTTTGGAAAGGGAATTTCAGCCTCGGAGGCTTTTGGCACAGTCCCCGGGTACTTATCTGGCTCACGCTTCTTTGTTTGAAGTTTTGCCGAGGGAGAAGGCGGGGAGAGTTGAGCCTTCGTACTTTCCAAACTGGCTGGGATCACGGCCGCTTCTTCTCCTCTCGTTGCTCGAAGCAGGCTTTCCTCCGAGGGCTTGGCTTCAGCCATAGTATCAGGGGACAATCTCCAGTCCGACCAGACGTCTGGGAGGGAACGGGGTGATTTTGAATCAGCCAGCTTGGCTTTGGAGGAATCTTGGCTGTCTGTCAGGTTTCGTTGCTATCTTAAATAAACTTCATTCTCAAACGCAAAGTCTCTAATGAATCTCTTTTATTTAAGGATAGAAAAAACAACATGCCTGAACTCTGTTGCAGCCAAGATTGGCACCTCCTTCCAAACCCCTCCCTTTCCGTCCTTCAACCCTAATGTCTCATTGGCCACCGTGCAGATCCATCTCTTCATCCCATGCACTTTCTTTTCACAGGAATTTCACCCCTCCCTCTGTTTCCCAAGTAACGCTATCTGCTGAAGAGCCAGGAACTAGGTGAAAGTTCATCCCAGCATTAAAGCAGGTCTTTCTGTGTCCTTCATGATTTCATGTTAGCGCTGAAAGAGATCATAATTTGGAACGCTGACACTATATCTGTAGGAGTTTCATTATACATTAAATCTTTAGGAATGCACTTACACCAGATACAATGATGAACAGAAACAACTCAAGGAAAATTATATATTTTTTATTCATAAAAAAGAAAGTAACATACAAATTATATATCATTTTGACTTTCCTCAAGATACAATAGTTTCCCCAATATTCCTATTCCCTCCAGTCTGCTATCTCTCTTCAAATTCAAAAGAAATCCCCCAATTGTTGTTAGGCAGAGTTTCTTACAGCCTAATCTTCAAAGCCCAAATAGTAGAATTAGCTCCCATGTCTCAGCTTGGAAGCTTCAGGAAAGAACATTGCCCCAGGCCAAAGGATACTGAGGTGTCTGCAAAATATCTAGAATCTTCAACAGCTTATCCCAACAGAAAAGTTGGAATAAGACCAATCACCAACTTTGGATTCTGATAGAAGCTACAGATGGAATGGGATGTTTAGGCAGTGACCCTTGGTTGCGCCTTCTTCACTCCCAGCAAACCCCTGCTGCCAAATCACACTTAGTTTTCCTCCTCCACTGGCCCATTTCCAGCAACTGTCCAGCGCCAATGGTCCCTGGCCCTCCACCCCCAACCCTTCGTCACTGCCCATTCCCTGAGGCAGGGTTAGACATGGGTATTTTGCTGCATAGGACAATTAGCGAATCGGGTGGCGGACAGAAGCAATAGCACTGCAAGGGTGGCATGCGATTAGCAGTTAGTAGGGTGATTGTGGGGGCTGTGGGGGGCAGTGTGCAATGCAATTAGTGGCAGGCTGGGGGGGGAGAGCAAGATCGGTGGTGGTATGCAACTGCCAGTGATGTGTGGGAGGATACCGGGGCTTACAGAGTCATTGCCGCTTGCACTGCCACCACTCCACAAGGTGTTTTTTTTTTTTAAGCACCATGGCTACTCCACACTTTTTTCTAAAAAAAAAAAGCTGCTGCCAAGTGGTGGTGGGTTTGACCCTTTGACACTTTTGGACCAATTGGGTGGCTCCGTAAGCCCCCAGGATCTCCCCCATGCACTGCCAGCAATCATGCACCATCGCTGATCTTGCTATCCCCTCCAGCCTGCTACCAATTGCATGGTACACTGCCCCCCACAGTCCTTGCGATCACCCTGTCCACCACTAAGTGCACATGCTACTCCCACAGTGTCATTGCTTCTGCCCACCACCCAACTGGCTTGTGATTATTTGTCCTGGGCAGCAAAACACCTAAATCAAACCCTGCCTCAGGGAATGGGCAGGGACAAAGGGCTGGGAGTGGAGGGCTAGGAACCATTGGCGGTGGGCAATGGACATTGGCCCATTGCCAATTGCTGGCAATGGGCCAATGGAAGAGGAAAGCTAGCTGTGGTTCAATGGTGGCAATTGGCTGGGAACGAAGAAGGCACAGCCAAAGGTTGGTGCCTAAACATCCAAGACCCACTACAGAAATGGTAAAAAAAAATATATCAATGAGTATGTTTGACTAGAAAGTTTCTTTTGTAATCCAAAAAGGCCTGTCGCAGGCTGAGTGATTTGAACTCAGTGACAACAGCTTCTCTCTTCAGCAGGAAGTAACACAGAAGATACATTTTCCCAAGAGGTTTAATCAATTGAGATGACAATCTTTCCTGTAGATTTACGTTGAATCACATGTGCAAAGGCTTCATTTACCTGAATAGCAATTAAAAGAAAGGGTCACTGAACGTGTTACAAAGTTAGAGGTGTATTTAGTGTCACTCATATATTCACTATGCTAGACTGTGAAATGTTAATCCTATAAGTACATTTTATGGCACCAAGTATATTCCTTGAAAGTTGCAAACATAGGCTGTTTTGCTTTTATCCCCAGTGGCATAAAATTAGGTAAAAGCAGAAACTTGATTTGGTGGATTGGAAAATTTTATAGGAAATCACAATTATGCAAGGTCAGAAATAATCCCCCAGTTCCCCCTGGAACTGAACGCTAAGAATCTAGATAAAATCCAATTAAAGATACTATTTAAAGAAAATGGTTTCCATAATTAAAGACAATGACCAACATTAAAGCTTTTCCCAAGTTAATTGTGGGAGTTAAATTTGCATGTATTTAATGAGATATGAAAAGCAATTGGACTCTTAATTAGAAACAATTAGTGATAAATAGATTGGATGAACTGAAAGATTCCATCATTATTTTCAACTACAAGCTAGCATGGCAAAGCTTTGGAGGCATTCCTCTTAAAGAGAAACCTCATTTCAATATTATTTCAAGTTTTACCTGTTCTTCCTCAAGAGTACGGCATAACATACATCCTAGGCACCAACTTCATCTTAATATTCATATGGAGAATTGAGAATTGAGAGATAAGAGTTTAACCCCTTAAATTTCATGGATGAGCAAGGATTTGTAGTCATTCAGATCCCTGCCTGAATCTAAAATGGAAATGCAACATTGGAAATACTTGCATGTCATGTCTTTGCTAGTGGCTAATACCATCTACTCTACATCTCCTTTGGGAAAAACTTATTTACTCCATACCAAAGCTTTATCTTCAACATACATTGTGGTAATGTTTGCCTATGCCACCCACTATACTGACAAAATTACTGGATTTCAGTAATCTGCAACATTTAAATTTATATATGAGTTTTTATTCAGAAAGCCAATTTATACACCAGTCCTATACAGAAAGCAGCTGTGATAAATCTGAGCTATACTTTTCTCCAAAAATAAAGGATTAACAATATTATCCTGGAAAATAGCAGCAGGTCATACAGACATCTATTCATCCAATTTCATTAAAGCCTTTCTTTCATTGTTATAAAGATTGTCCATTTGGACAATCCAAGAAATACTGGGAAAGCTTCAAAACTGTTAAAGTCAAGCTTCTTCTCCTTACCTCCTCTAGTTTGAACACTCCTCCTATGTGAGGCTGGATTTGACCCTCTTGATAATATGAAAGAGCTGAAGAAATGGTTGCGGAGAAGACTGGGAAGTCTTCATCCCGGTACCGGCCCCAGAATAGTCCCAGAGCAGAGATGTTTTTCAGAAGCAGTATGTTAGCTGGAATGGACGGTATCGTTCCTCCAGCAAAACCAACCACCACAATTCTGCCTTTAAAAGCCAGACTGCAAAAATGAAGCAGAGAGACCCAGAGATTAATACTTGGATCAAATCTATATAAATAAAAATGTAAATGTCCGTTTGTACATAACCGCACATCTCGGAAAGTTCTTCATCAATTGCTTTCAAATTTTGACACAATGTTGCATTCGACTACGGGCATGTTTTTATATACCTATATTATATACATGTCACACCTGTGACAGGTAAAAACATGAAAAACATTGGAAAACATTGAAAGATATTGACAAACATTGAAAAACAGCGCCATCTGCTGGACGTAAAACCAACATGGCAGCCTCCCAGCCCTGATTACGCTTAACAGATTTCTGCTCCTTATATTTAGACTCTCCATATTGCTTCCAAGAAACTGTGCATTTGGAAGGCAGAGGGCCATATCCTGCCACCAGGCTTGGCAGGTAGGCAGCTGACTCCCCACCGGGAAGCCCTCACGCTTCTAGGGCTGGGCGGGGCCCGCCCGAGCCTGGCTCTGACCTTCCCCTCCCCCGGCCACCCTGCGAACTAGCCTCGCCCGCCGCTGCTGCCCATCCCCCTCGCCAGCCGCTCTCGGGGCTCCTTCCAAAGAACACCTGGCAACAAGGCTGCCTGGGTCTGCCGAGCGGGAACCCTCCGTCCCTCGCCTGGCCCGAATCAGATCCCTGGCCCAGCGTTACCATGGGCCCAGAGGTCAGAAAGACCAGCCGCTAACTGGCGCTATGCGAATCCGGTCGGTGAGTGGGAGATGGTGGCAACTGGAGCCTCGGGGTTGCCTTTGACCAGCGCTGCCTTTGATTCCCAGGTGGGCGCTCTGGCAGTTCACGGCAGTTCACGGAGCCTACACGAAAATTTTGGCCTCTGGCAGAAAAGGGGCTCTGGGGAGGCTGTGGGGGGCAGAAACGGGCAGGAGGGAGGATGGCCGCCCCTCCTTCGTTTCACCTGGAAGAGCGAGGGATTTAATCATTCCCCTGCCCTTGGCAGGCGGGGGAGGAGAACTGCGCAGCAGGGGTCCAGTGGGGTGTGCGTGGCTCCTGGCTTTGCCGCTTTCTTCCTTTGGGCGGGAAGTCCCAAACCAGCCTCGACCTCCCGCTGCACCCCCTCCCTCCCTCCCTTCCCTTCCCTGCTATGCGTCTCTCCGTCGAGCCCCCAGAGAACATCTGTGTAGGGAGGACAGAGGGGCCCCCCGAGTTTCTGCTGTGGTGTGGAGAGCTGCGAAGGCCTGGCCTGAGAAGGTAAGGGCAATGGCGGGGGATGCAGAAGAGGCCGGGCCAGAGACGGAGATAAACAGAGAGAGGGAGAGAGACACATACAGAGATACAGAGAGGGAGGGTGGGAGAGAGAGAGACAGAGAGAGATAGAGGGGGGAGAGAGACATAGAGATACAGAGAGAGGGGGGAGAGAGACACATACAGAGATACAGAGCGGGGGGGAGAGAGACACATAGAGATATACAGAGAGAGGGGAAGAGAGAGACACATAGAGAGATACAGGGGGGAGAGAGAGAGACAGAGAGATACAGAGGGGGGAGAGAGAGAGATACAGAGAGATACAGAGAGAGGGGAGAGAGAGACACATAGAGATACAGAGAGAGGGGGAGAGACACATAGAGAGATACGGGGGAGAGAGAGAGATACAGAGAGATACAGACAGGGGAGAGAGAGAGACATAGAGAGATACAAAGAGATAGGGGGAGACAGAGAGGGAGGATTTTGTGGTTCCCATTGTTTTTTAGCAACCGGTTCTCTGCCCTAATCACCAGCTGGGTAGGCGTGGCTCGGGGTATGTCATGTGACTGATGAAAGTGAGTGATGTCGAGTTGGCCACACACCCCAAATGTTCGTGGAGAGTTTGGAACTTCAGCCTCGCTCTTTTAGTCCAGCGGAAGCACCAGACTGGGCCACAGTAACACGTGGCCGGATACAGATAGTAGTTAATATAGCAGCTCCCACTCCTTGAGTGGGTCAAAATTTATTCCTGAATGGATAGAAATCAAGTGATCAATTAAAGCAAAAGGGTTATTGTCTAAAGAGAAAGAGCAGATGTACACTTGCTACACAATTATACAAAGAGTAGAGAGGGCTGTGCTAGATATTTCAGAAACAAAGGGTTTAAAGCAGGGGTGTCAAGCTTAGGGCATCACAGGACTTTTTTCCCTTTTGCTAAACTGGGCGTGGGTGTGGCCAGCATGTGACACACCTGGTTTGACAGCCCTGGTTTAAAACAATTTACAGGTAGTTCTCAACTTATGACCACAATTGGGATCAGAATTTGTTGGTAAGTGATGCAGTTGTTAAGCAAGTCATCACATGACTGGACTCAATTTAGTGACCTTTTTTTATCATAATCGTTGGGCAAATCATGTGGTCATTAAGTGAATCAGATGGTTGTTAAGAGGATCTTGCTTCTCCTATTAACTAACAAGTCAGTTGGAAAGGTTAAAATTATGATCACATGACTGCAGGTTGCTGCAATTGTCATAAATGTTGAGCTGGTTGCCAAGCATCTTAACTGCAATCATATTACTATGGGGGTAGTGTGATGGTCATAACTTGGAAGATGGGTTGTACGTCAGCACCACTGTAACTTTGTACTGTTGTTAAATGAATGGTTATAAATTGAGAACTAACTGTAATACAGGAATGGAGAACTAATGGCCTTCTAGATGTTGCTAAACTACAACTCTCAGAATCCCCAACTATTGGCTATGCTGACAGGAACTGCTAGGAGTTGGAATTCAGCAATAGCTCACAGATTGTCCATCCGCTTTTGGATGCAATAAGTAAAGGATTTCTAAGAACAGAACATTGTGACCAATATATTGGAGTTATTCAAAATTTATCAGACATTTTCAGATATCTCCCACTGATAAAAATCAGATACATTTACAGAAGATAAAAATGATTAAACATTTCAACATTTTCAATTGTTAAGAGAAGTTATAATCAATTCTTCCCCTCTAATTTCTTCTGAGGTACTTTTAAAAAAATTCTACCAGTTCTCACATGCACTGGAAACCATACACTGAAGGCTCAAATTTTGGGAAATCAAATTTATTTCCAAGCAGGTAATGATTATTCACCTTGCCTGGCTAGCAAGGAATGGTCCTAATTTGAACTAATTTCAAGTAGAAAACAGCTAATCCAATAAAGTCAGAGTAGTCTTATATCAAATATTTATAACATATCTATATCAAACAGCCTTGATGCAGTTCTAAAATAGCTGTAAAATTCACACCAAATTCAGGAAAAAGTACAAAAACCTGTACACCTTCACCCTACTCACTACAGCCTTTGCTCTAAGAAACCAAAAAGTTGCAGGATCCAATCTGAGTCAGTCACCGGCACCAGAAATTTTGTCTTTCAAGCTGGAGCCTATCCTCATGATTGGATCCTGCAACACTATCCTCAGACACATAATATTCGCCTTCATTCATGAAACCAAAAAGTTGTCAAATTTTGCTATCCAGAAGAAATAGATCATGGCTTTAGCCCACCTATGCAATGCCTGATTGAAGATGTCTCCACCAACGGTGTCAATAACCACATCAACTCCCTTGTTTGCTGTTAGCTTCTTCACCTCTTCTTTCAGACTAGCCTCGTTGTAATTCACACTCTCAAGAGCTCCTTTCTGGATAGCCAGGTGGCATTTACCATCACTTCCTGCTGCTGCTATCACCTGCAATCCCAAAAGACAACTGTATATTCTTTCAACTGACATCGTTGCATTATAGCAGATGAGCCCTTTCCATCCACAGTTAAAGCCAACAGAGCTTTCCCCAGTTTTGAACCATCCAATGTATCTGCCATAATTTCTAGGCACCATGGCCAACACACTTAGCACACAGTAGATTAGAGGGAGCTGCTCTAACATTAATTTGGATGGAATCTAAGATGATGGGTCTGGTTGCATTTTCTGGTTTCTTCCCTGTTTTTCTTCGTAAGTAAAATTAATGCTATTTTCTCCAAGGGAGATTTATTGGGAGAACTGCAGCGTAAACTGAATTTACGCTGCAGTTTTAGAGCAGCCTTTGGAACAGAGCAGCGAGTTGCTTATGGGAGGAATAATTGAAAACTTATTTTCTTTTCATCTGGCAAGGCTCTCTGTTGTGAACAGACCCTCTTGGACCTGGTAAGGAACTCTTGTAGGAATGGCAACTCTGAACACTGCAGTCTGATAAAGGTAATTTTATGAGTAGAATCTTGTGTGTTAACCTAGTTGATAACCTGATTTTACAGTGGAAATAATTATTTGAAACCAGAAGTGGTAAAGGAGTTTTTAAGATGTTTCAGCGTCCTTGTCTGATTTGGAAGATTGCTTAGATATATACTAATGCTGATGAAAGAAGGCATACCTTTGCTTTAAGGACATTAGCTGCAACATCCACAACTGCAAGCCCTGTAGCACCAGCGGCCGCAGTCACCAAAACAGTTTCTCTGCAAAAAACAGAAGCATAGTTTGAGACTGGCGAGATGTGTTAAATACTGATGATTTAAAACAGAGACCTTCAAACTTGGCAACTTAAAAGACTTGACTTCAACTCCCAGAAATTCCCAGCCAGCATGACAGTCTGAGGGATTCTGGGAGTTGAAATCCACAAGGTTTAAAGTTGCCAAGTTTGGAGATCCCTGATCTAAAACATTAAAAGACTAGCTGACACACTTCCTCACTTCACTCCACCCCAGTGTCCGTCTACATTATTAGGCTCACTATGGAAAAAACTGGACCCATCAAATCAGGCTGAGATCATACATCCAGAACTGCTTTGCTATGTTCCCTTCCAGTCTTTCCATAGCTGACAAGAAGTCATGCTGCCCTAAATCTGGACCTACCACAGCACATCCTTAGCACATATATGGAATAGATCTGTGCTGTTCTGTTCTTCATCTAGCTTTAACAGCCATACATTTTAAGGGACATAGCTGGTAGTTTCCTTAGTTAGAATTCCAGCCCTATCCAATATCCTTCATTGTGTGAAATGCCTTCTCTAACTGATAAGCACATTGCTCCTGGTTACTTGGTGCACTGTTTGCTTTTCTCTTTCCTGTTGTAACATTTTCATTCTTTGGTAGACAACCCATGACCTTTTGGATCATTGTTTCAGAAATATTTCCTTGCTAGATTCCTCAATGCCTTCAACAATGGTAGTGTTTCTAATATATTTGAAAAGTTCTTAAAAATTCATGGAGATATTCAGAGAGATAATCTGTATCTGTAGCCCACAATGAACCATATAGCACTAGTCCAAAGGACAGAACCACAGAAAATATTTTATGACATTTTGTATTATGTCATAAAATGTTTTATGATAATTTTATGTCATAAAATATTTTGTAAATTTCAATTCCACAGGAGTCATGGGTCTCAGATTTTGGATGCATTAGCCTATTTGAGGTACTTGGTTGACAAAATTCTTCCCCATAATGCACCATTTCACCCAGTTAAAGGTTACAGACACAACAGTTTTAGTAGTTTATCAATTAATATGGCTTGACCATTTGACCATAGAGCCGTGGTGGTGCAATGGTTAGAATGCAGTACTGCAGGGTGAGGCAGAGAAACTCTAAGGCAGTGATGGCTAACCTTTTTGCCATCGCGTGACAAAAGTGGGGGGAGCATGGGGGATCACACTTGTGCCCACACCCATAATTCTATGTGCCCCGCTCCCCGTGCATGCGACCCCCCTGTGCTCCCCCCGCATATGATGGTATGGTGGGCCCGGTAGGCTCATTTTTTGCTCTCCCCAGACTCCAGAGCCTCTCTAGGAGCTTGGAGAGGGGGAAAATAGCCTTCTCCACCCTCTGGAGGCCCTCCAATGGCCGGAAACAGTCAATTTGCTGACTTCCGGTCCCATCTCCGAGGGGGTGAGGAAGGCCGTTTTCCCCATTCCCAGGCTCTTAGAAAGGCTCTGGAGCCTGGGGAGAGCAAAAAACAGGCCTACTGGGCCTACCAGAAGTTGGCAAATGGGCTGTTTCCACCCTCCGGAGGGCCTCCGGGGGGAAAGGCTGTTTTTGCCCTCCCCGGGCTCCTAGAGAGACTCTGGAGCCTGGGGAGAGCAAAAAAGAGCCCTACCAGAAGTTGGCAAATAGCCATATTTCCAGCCTCGGAGGGCCTCCAGGGGGGGAGGCTGTTTTCGCTCTCCCCAGGCTCCTAGAGAGGCTCTGGAGCCTGGGGAGAGCAGAAAATGCGCCTCCCTGTCCCTTCGGAAGTTGGCAAATGGGCTGTTTCTGGCCTCCGGAGGGCCTCTGGGGATGGGGGAGGCCATTTTTGCCCTCCCTAGGCTCCTAGAAAGGCTCTGGAGCCTGGGGTGAGCGAAAATGCCCCCCGCCAGGTCATCTGGAGACAGGAAACAGCCTGTTTCCCTACTTTTGGTGGGCCCAGAAGGCCCGAAAATCAGCCAGAGCTGAGCTCGTGTGCCCACCAATATGGCTCCGCATGCCACCTGTGGCATGCGTGCCATAGGTTCGCTATCACGGCTCTAGGGTTTTGGTTTCAAATTTCTGTAGGCTCTTTTAGGGGGAAAAAAGCAGTGAAAACTTAAGAGCAAGTCAGAAGGATCTCTAATTTATCTTGAGGACATAAGGTTAGGCAAAACTGATCTAGTAGTACTTACTGCCTGTCCTAAATCTGTATTTCTTTGTCCATGACTATCTTACTGGCTGAAGGGATAGACAGAGAATGTAGGGTTGTAAGAGTACAACATATGTCTTCTAACTTATTCTGACAGAAGTGATATAACTAAGGAAGCAGCCAACTTTTTGGACAACTGCTCCTACAATTCCTAATTCTTAGCAGTCCATTTTATTAGGAAATAAACATGCTTTACTTCAAATCCGATGCACATCAAATATATCAATATATTACACATTAATATATATCATATTAAAAAATAAAGCAAAAAGTCATCTACAATATTTACAAAATTGTACATTAGAACAAATCAGGCTATAAACTGAAATAATGGGACAATTCTGAATGATATGCAATCAATCTTATGATCTGTTAGACACAGATCTTGGTATCTTCCACGCAGGGAAAGCCTCAAGATAGCCACCAATTATTACAGAATTTCAACACAACCCAGAACTTTGTTGACCAAACAAGACTTTGTGCTACTATTGTTGGGCTTCCACTCACCCTAGTTGTGTTTGTGCTCTATATTTCAAGGCCAAGATGGCTGTCCCATATGAAGCAGGCAATGCTGCAGCTTGTTCATACGATACTCCTTGGGGGATTTTCCAAAGTAACTTTCAAAAAAGAAAAGAAAATGAAATCCTGAACACAGGCATCATTTATTTATTTAATCATTTATTTTATTTTATTTTTATACCGCCCTTCTCCAACAGGACTCAGGGCGGTGAACAGCCAAGATAAAACATAACATATAAAATTTAAAAAACAGTTTAAAAGACATTAAATAATTTCGGCCCTCAATTTAAAACAACCCAGTTAAAACCAATTTCAAATTAAAACTGAAAGGATGGGATCAAGCCAGTCCGGCTAGATGAAATAAATGAGTTTTCAGGACCCGACGAAAAGTCCGGAGGTCTGGTATTGTGCGTATCTCTGGCGGTAGGTCGTTCCAGAAGGCAGGTGCTGCTACAGAGAAGGCTCTCCCCCTGGGGGTTGCCAGCCAACATTGTCTGGCCGACGGCACCCTGAGGAGGCCGTCTCTGTGTGAGCGAACTGGCCAGTGGGAGGCTATTGGCGGCAGAAGGCGGTCTTGTAGATACCCCGGCCCTAAGCCATGGAGCACTTTAAAGGTAGTCACCAACACCTTGAAGCGCACCCGGAAGACCACCGGAAGCCAGTGCAGCTCACGCAGGAGAGGTGTCACATGGGAGCGCCCCGTCGCTCCCATAATCCCCCGCGCAGCTCCATTCTGGACCAACTGGAGCATCCGGGTGCACCCCAAGGGGAGCCCCATGTAGAGAGCATTGTAGTAGTCAAGCCGGGAAGTGACAAGTGCCTAAGTGACCATGCGTAGGGAGTCCCGATCCAGAAAGGGACGCAACTGGCGTATCAGGTGGACCTGATAAAAAGCCCCCCTGGCCATGGCCGTCATATGCTCTTCTAAAGACAGCCGTGCATCCAGGAGGACGCCCAAGTTTCGAGCCCTCTCTGTGGGGGCCAGTGATTCGCCCCCAATAACCAGTGATGGCACCAGCTGGCTATATCGGGACGCCGGAAGCCACAGCCACTCGGTCTTGGAAGGGTTGAGTCGGAGCCTGTTTCTCCCCATCCAGGCCCGCACGGCCTCCAGGCACTGGGACATCACTTCAAGGGCATCGTTGGGGTGGCCTGGGGTGGAGATGTACAGCTGAGTGTCATCAGCGTACTGATGGAACTCCACCCCAAAGCCACCCAGAGGCTTTACATAAATGTTGAACAGAAGGGGCGAGAGGACCGACCCTTGTGGCACCCCACAAACAAGGTGCCTCGGGGTCGACTGCTGCCCCCCTGCCAACACAGATTGCAATCGGTCAGAGAGGTAGGAGGAGAACCACCACAAAATGGTGCCCCCCACCCCCAACCCCTCCAACCGGTGCAACATGATACCATGGTCGATGGTATCAAAAGCCGCTGAGAGATCTAACAGGACCAGGATAGAGGAACAACCCCTATCCCGAGCCCTCCAGAAATCAACTACCAACGCGACAAATGCCGTTTCCGTGCTGTGCCCAGGTCTGAAGCCGGACTGGAGCAGATCTAGATAGACAGCTTCATCCAGGTACTGTGGAAGCTGCCGCGCCACCACATTCTCAACAACCTTCACAATAAAACGAAGGTTGGAGACTGGACGATAGTTAGCCAAAACAGCCGGATCCAGAGAGGGCTTCTTGAGGAAGGGCCTCACCACCGCTGCCTTCATGAGCCTTCCGAACTTATTATTCTCTGAACTTATCTTTTGCAATAAAGAATTTCAGAACACCAGTGACCATCCCAATGAACTAATGAACATGTAGCACAGTTTACAAAGTAATTTTTCCAAAGATCCACAATCAAGTGACTTAAATATGCTGCCACTTCAACCAACAGGACAGAGGAAATTACTTCTGTATGATCTTACAGTTGTAAATAGGTTGATTTTACAATTAGGAAGAATACTCACTTTCTTCTAATTTTTCTATGATAGTAAAAACCTATCTCTTTTTCTGTTGGATCAGCTTCCTATCACTTGAAGTCTTGACAAGAATCCAAAAGAAATTAGGTTTCTTTTATTACTCCATATATTTACTCTTCCCATTGTTCTTTCCTCTTTTAAAGTTAGGCAAAATGAGCTAAACTTAATTTTTTGAATATATAAAAAATATTTACTGAATAAATTATGAGTGATAAATATTCATGTAATCCTCTTTATTCTCTTACATATTTATATTTTTGGTTTTTGAAAAGAATTTAAAAAATACTGGAGGGGGGTATTTTTTTTCATACCTTTGAATCTGCAATGTATTCTTCTGCCAGAGCTTTTCCATTGGTCACACCAATGACACAGTCCCCCTGTCCAAAAGCATCATCAGAGAACCATAAGGATGAGAAAAGTTGACACGTTCCCCCTTTTGCCAAGGACTAAAAACATATCTAAACAAGTAGAAGATATTTAAAACATCAACATTTTAATCAGCATTTCACTAAGTTCTTAGATTGGACATATGAATGAATGAATGAATGAATGAATGTTTACAAAATTGTACATTAGAACAAATCAAGTTATAAACAATTCTGAATGCTATACCATCAATCTAATGATCTGTTAGACACAGATCTTGGTATCTTCCAGGCAAGGAAACCACCATGCTCCAGAAGCTCTGGGCAAGGTTGATAGTTAAAAATCTTGTTATTGTTGAAAACATTTTGTAGAAAGATTAGTCACAATTTCCCACATGGCTCTAAATGGATAAAGTTAACCAAGATTTGTAAGTTTTTATTACAGCTACAATGTGGAATATCTGAAGAATAAGGAATTTTACTTAATTTCAAATTAAGGGAATCTCATCAATATTACATAAAACTCTAAGGACAGAGTCTCTTGAATATTTCAAAACATTGAAAGTGTGAGATTAGAATTTGATGAGCTTCACTGCAACTCTCTGTGGTAAAGAATCCTTTTTAAATTTATTTCAGCTCATCATCAAAGAACTGAACATGAGGATAATCCACAAGTGACACTGTATTTGACTAAAATTGCATTATATTATCTTTCTAGAATTAGTTAATGAAAGTGCAATCAAAATGGTATATATTGCTACTATTATATAATTGGCAACAAATTCAGAAAACTATTTTTGCTCAAAGCTTATTAGGAAGTCAGAAAAGTTGTCCAAAAATACAATAAATAATATTGGTTTCATGTTCATTTTTCTTAAGACATATACATTGATGCAATATGACAATACTTCAGTTTCTAAAGTTCATTGCCAGGTTTGCTATAAAAAGAACCACGGGAAGATTAATTTTCATCTTTCGTTGGATCAATGGCATTTGGGAAACTATTGTTGCTGAAAAATTAACACAATAAAAAGCACTGAAAATCTGTACTATTATGAATAAATTAGTTCAAATCCATTTGGGATATATGAACAATATTCTTCCTAATTATTTTCAAAGTGAAAATACTGGATAAGTCTGTTTTACAATTTGTGCATTTTTCTTAAGAAGACATCTGCATTTATACATATTCTCTTCTCGTCCTCTTGCTGTCCTAGTTCACAGATTACAATTGCAGTAGTCTAGTGAGCAACTACTGAAGGAATTTCCATATTCTTTTTTCCTAGGCCAGGAGTGTTCCAACTTTGCATAACAAGATCATCTTTTAAAGCTTATTCCAAATAATCTTCTTTACCTCTTTGATGTTGGTGACAGCTTTCCCAGTCTCCACCACATCTCCTGAGAATTCCATTCCTAAAACAGAACATCATCTCTATAATAATACAGAGTTATTGCATGAATCATCAGTCAGTTCCACATTAGTTGTCACATCTATCATCAGTTACTTCCCCACTAGTAGCAACCACTTTACATGCAGAGTAAAAACACTTATATACTTATAAACTTATTTTGTGTCTAGCAAAAGATTTAAGCCAAAGGAACAGATCTGAATTATCTATGGCCTTCACTGTTTTCAGGAGATGCAGGGGCAGCAAGATCAGTAATTTTCTTTGCCTTGTAATATTAAATATACTTTTGAGTACCAGCTTTCTCTGGTCAAAATCTTGGTGACTCTTATTTATTTATCTATCAAATTTATTTGCCACCTATCTTGCAGCTCCAATGATTCTGAGTGGCTCACTGACATATAATTATCTTTGTGGCAGTAAGAAGATGTTATCAGTGCTTCTTACTGAGATGTTTTTCATTTTTCTTATCTAACCTGGGATCCTGGAAGTCCCTGGTGGTTTCCCATTCAAATACCCAGTCAGGTCCTACTTCGTTGAGTTTTTGAGCTAAATCAAGGCTGGCCAAGTGTTGCTATCTGAGACATCTACCCCATCATCTTCTGGTGACCAACGCATTCTGTTTGGAAATTCCATTTTGAGGCTTCAAATGCGAACTTTAGAGGTCTATCTGACCTAATTTGGAGATATTTTTCATATTTCCTCCCATCTCCTACTTTTTACTTTATCTCATCTGAAGGGCTCTGGAGAATTTGAAAATTTGCACACTTTTATGCCATTTTTCTTGACCACCAATGGATTCTACATTATTCCTCCCCCCCCCTTTCTATATACTGTACATACAGTATATATAGAGTACACACACACATGTATGTACACAGTGTGTGTGTGTGTGTGTGTGTCCCATACTAAAACAACTGATAATCATTGCAGAGCATTGGCCAGAAGATGTCACCATGAGCACAATAAAGATTTTTTTAAAAAAATGGAACAAAATATTAATACTATTATTTTTTTAAAAATCCTATTTGTTATCTTTTTTTAAATAAATTTTATTAAGTTTTCAAGAAAGTGAAAATCAAACACCAACTAATGCAAAATAGAAAGAACAAAGATAGAGAAAGCAAGAAGAAAAACCTTTACCAACCATTCCTTCATTGTGGGTAGAGTCAAACGTTTCTATTGAGTCTAATTTTTTATCTATATGTATTGTGGTTACATCTTAGATAAAAAAATGTATGTCTGAAATTTGCGTAGTCTTCTTACAAAGCAAGGTTCTCATTAAGAAATCTAGGAATGGAAAGGGAATTAATATCAGCTTTCACCAATATGACACTGTCAGGAGGTTAAACTGCATTTTCTATCACTGAATAAATTTATTTTAATACATCTATTGGAGAAGGCTGATCTAGCAAAGGGTGCAGATTTTGTTCTTATGTTAGGGCTCCTTCTCACAACATAGACACCATGAAAATGTTTTCACTCACCTGGGATGAATGGGAGAGGATGCTGATGTTGGTAAAGACCCTGGCAGGCCAGTATGTCAGCAAAATTGACTCCACAACAACGGACATGAATTCTGACCTACAAAAAAAGACAATCCACATTCCTCACATAACCAGAAAACTCTTTGTGTGTGTAAGAAAGGGGGGAGGAGGAGACAGGTTGAACATTTAAGTGCCATGTTTTCTTCCTCTTTAGAATGAAGCCACAGCAAGTAATCTGATTAACTTGGGAAATGCAACAAATGAAAGAATTATTTTCTATACATGCATATAAGATTAACCTAAGGAATTCTCATAATATTCCTGGCTGCTGTTTTGTGCAAGGGAAGAAGAAGAAACCAAAGGGGGGAAAGGTGGATTTCTCATGTGATCCTGCTTCTTTTCCACAAGGTCTATATATTGATTGCCAGAAAATGAGGGAGAGGGAGAATTGGTTTTTTTGTATGTGTTTCTTTGTGTCAGTGTTGACTCCGGGAAACTGACCAGACAAGTGTCTGTGGTTTTCTTGGAAAGATTTTTCAGAAGTAGATTGCCATTGCCTCTTTCCTGGAGCTGAGAGAGCATGACTGGTCCACAGTCATCCAGCTGGCTTTGTGCCTAAAATGGACTAGAAGTCATGGTCTCCTGGTTTCTAACCACTACTCCAAACTGGCTCTCTAGAAAATAAACTAGAGGTTGCATAAAGTAATCTGGTGAATAAATACCTGTCCTATCAATTCTGGATAGAAAAAATAGTTTTTACTAAACTGGTAAGGAAGCTATTATAACCCCAGTTTCTTCTGAGGTTACAAATATACCTTACATTATTCATAAAAATAGGTCTGTGTTCCTGGATTCCTAAAAAGAAGTACTATGGGTCAGCATGCTTTGCCAGTCATTTGCAAGATTTGGGCAAAACAATGCACCCCATTAGGATTAAGCATAATACTATAGACAGGCTCAAAGCTTCTAGAAGTGAAAAAATATATACCAAGATCTGAACAAGCTTATAAATTCGAGGGAAACTACTGTCCTAGGGAATTTTTTTGCTGTTTTATGTTAACCCAATAAAATGTAATAGGGATTCAACTACCACCATTTTTTTTTGTTTCTGCTTTTCAGTAGGACATTAATATTTTTATTGTCTATTAATCATGTTGTCAGCCTTTTTATGGTCTCTTTACGAGCTGTCTGAGTAGTAGCTGACACTCTGTCTTTTTAAAGCATATCAGTTTTGATTACTGCATTGCAAACATTATACAGCTTCCATGACCTAATCAACAAGAAATCCACAAGTCTGAAAAATGTCAACTCTCTGTGAAAAATCCTCATTTGCATTCTCTTATAATAACCACAGCCTCTTTTCCCATATGCATCACTGCATTTTGAAAACTCCTAGCTTAATATCTCAAAACATGATTGAAGAAGACATTCTAATCTTTGCTTTTAAACTCCAACCTATGATCAATTTAACAAGCAAATAAAATAAATGGGAAATATAATTTATAAATGTAATCGTTTTCCCAAGGACTAGTGTTAATCGGCACCTTAAAGACTAACCATAATTCGATAATTAAAGCCTTCACAGATCATATTCCACACCTTCAGATGCAGTGAGTAAATGCTGCCAGAATTTTTTGGAAGATAATAACAAGAGGAGAGGATGGTTTGTCTTTGTTTCAAATAACATACATGCTCCCTAGTTATTTCAAATACCAAGGAAAAACTAATATCTGGTCTTTCAAAGCTTAAAAATGTTTCCCCAAATTTGTGGGGAAATGTGTGGTAGCAGTTACGGTTCACAAGACAGGCCAATTTTATTTTGCCTTAACGAAAATAAGATTCTTTCTTTCTTTCTCTCTCTTTCTCTCTCTCTCAACCTATATTTCATGCTTTCCAGTTACAGGGTCACTTTTCTGCTATACGTAGCAAACAATATTTATTGTATTTACACACACATGTCAGAGTCATTGGTATGGGATCCTTGATGTTCTATGAGTTTGGTTCTTTTTTTGCAGATGTTTCATTACCCAACTAGGTAATATTATCAGTGCTAGAAGGGAGTGGGATTTACTTGCATTTTATATACTAGTGGCTTGCCATGTCAATGTTGCTGGGAGTGGTCTTGGTGGTTCCTTAATTAAGCTGTTGTTTACTATTAGCTTGTTTGTTTGAGTTGTCAGAGAGCACCAAGGACCTAACAATTCAATTCTGAACTACAAATGTTCTCTTCCATCAGAGTCACTGGTTTTCATTAACAACAGGGAATAAAAGCACATTATTTTCTTGGTCTGTTTTAAGTGTTGGTTCATATTTTGCCTTTTCCCATATAGCAAACTGACCCTACAAATGCTCTTTCCAGGTGCCTGAATTATCTACAAGCAACCTAGCAAGAACATCTTAAGATGCTTCAGAATAACTGGCTCTATAATTCCCAACTAACAATGCACTATCAGATAGTCCTTGGCTAATAATGGCAGTTGGGACTGGCAACTCTGTTAATAGGTGACATAATGGTCAAGCATCATGTCCTATGACTGTGCCAACTTACATTGGCAATTCCAGTTGTGATTGTTAAGAAAATCCTGCACAGTCATTAGGTGTGACAATATATCATTTGTGACCATCTGCCAGCTTCCTCATTGACTTTGTTCATCAGATTGAAGCACACAAATGGCACCTCATGACCGCAAGATATTATGACTGTCATAATTGCTAGCTGGTTGCACAGAATCCAAATTATGATCATGTGGCTGTAGGGATGCTGCAATGGCCACCGCTTCAAAAACTGGCCATAAGTCTCCTTGTACAGTGCTGTTGTAACTCTGAACAGTTGCTGAACAAGTGATCATTAACTGAAGACTACTTGTAAATCAGTAGGCTAGAAACTATTTGTATAGATTAGTAAATTCTTTTTAAAACTGCAGTAATAGTACAATTTTCTTCAACCATTTTGTTTGACTTCCTTTCCAGAGGCCCTTTAAGAAATGACAAATTAATCACATTATTTACTAAGGCCAGATGGATAGTTTATACCTAGGAAATGGGCCATGAGACAAGATGATAAAAATTCAAGGGGGAAAAAAGGAAGGGAAGAAAAGGCTATAGCTGTATTCATTCAACATCTGTAGCAAGTTAGTCTTAAATGGAAAATAGGTGTAGTCCAATTACATCCCACAGCTTTGAACTGTATTCAAAGAGTCCAACTTGGATTCCTTTCAAAAGCCTGATCAGAGAAAGAAAGAGAAGCCTTACCAGAGATCTGAATGGAATGTTTCCAATGGCCTGCATTGAAAAGGCCGAAGACCACACTCTGCCCAATCTGTTTTAAACAAACATTCATGGTAATCTAAATCCTACAAACAAAACCATCTTAACTGATCACGTAGGAGAACTTTCAATCCTAGTACTATAACTTGCTTACCTCGTGCGACTGAAGCAAAGCAGACGGAACATCCCTGACAACCAATGGCTTTTTCAGTTCAGTGCACAGCACTGCTCGATAGGTCCTCTGGGACTGCAGGAAAACAATGCTGCCTGGAGAAATGGGGTTCCATGATTTAGGGCCAAAGATATTCTTCCTGTAAAAAAACAAGAAGCATGATTCTCAGAGCACTCCGCTTACTCAGGTTTTTTTAACCTGCTTTTTTAAATAAGATTTCATTAATCTGATATTTGCAAATGCAAATGATCATATGATCCATTTGTTGTAATTGCAAACTTGTGCAATAAAGGTTTGATCTCAGGAATATTAATGTTGTATTCACCTAAATGTGATTTAAGGTCCTCTTTGCATCTTCCCATTGAAGCCACATAGGGCTGCAGTCTACAACAGGGGTTCCCAACCCTCGGTCTGTGGCACGCCAGAAACGGGGCTACACAAAGCCCCATCTGTGGGATGCAGGCAGCACATGAAACCATGCCCCTTCCAGTCTACAGAAAAACCTTTATCTACAGAACTGGTCCCTGGTGTCCAAAAGGTTGGGGGTCATTGGTCTGCAGGACAGTTATATGCAAAGTATTACCACCAGTTTTGTTTATTGCCAATGGTTAAGGCACTAAACTAAAAACTGCAAGTTCTAGTCTTGCCTTAGGCAGAAAGTGTTGTGGTCCAACAGCAGCTTGCAGAGCTGGCAGCAGAATCAGATAGTGAGGCGGCTGGGGAGGAACATGGGCCAGTCTTGGGAGTCTGGGGAAAGCTCGGATGAGGGCTCTGCATCAGAGGCAGAGATGGGGCCAGGGCCATTTGGGAGTTATGTGCTGACTCCAGAGCCTCCAGAGTCTGATGTCAGTGAGGCAGAGGAACAGGGGGAGCCTGTTCCCAGTGCGCATATGCGCAGAGCTGCCAGAAGGAAAGAACAGTTAAAACAAAAGGGGCAACTTGGGAGTAAAGCTTGGAGATGATTGGCCCCTCCCATAAAATATAAAGGAGGAGCAAAGACACGTGAGCCTTTGCAGGAAGCAACTTTGCTCATGCTGGTCAGTTTAAATTCTGAAGCTCCGTTTTGACTCTGTGCTCTGTGTGGCCTTGCAAACCTAATTGCCAATTAGGTCTTTGGCAGCGTGTCAAGGGAAATAAAGGTGGGTGCTTATCAGCCTTATTCACAGAAGGACTCTGGTAGACTTCTGGCAGACTCGTTACAAACTATTTGTGACTCATCGCGGGGTGTGAATGGACAGAATTCACAGCCGTTGAAATAAAAAGAAGGTTTTGGGGACTAATTGTATGCTTTTTACTTGTCTCAGGAAGCCTAAGTCAAAACAGAAAGCCAGCTGGGTGACCATGGACCAGTCATTATCTGTCAGCCCTAGGAAGAAGGCAATGGTAAATTACAGGCAGTCCTCAACTTACAACAGTTCATTTAGTGACCTTTCAAAGTTATAACAGCACTGGAAAAAGTGAGTTATGACCATTTTTCACAGTTACAACTTCTGCAGCATCCCCTTGGCCACATGATCAAAATTCAGATGCTTGGCAACTGGTTCATATTTATGACAGTTGCTGTGTCCCTGGGTCATGTGATCACTCTTTGTGACCTTCTGATAAGCAAAGTCACTGGGGAAACCAGATTCACTTAATAATCGGGTTACTAACAACTGCAGTGATTCACTTAACAACTGTGGCAAAAAAATGTCGTAAAATGGGGCAAAACTCACTTAAATGTCTCACTTAACAACAGAAATTTTGGGCTCAATTGTGGTTGTAAACCGAGGACTACCTGTACTTCTGAAACACCTTGCCAAGAAAACTATAGGGACTTGTCGAGGCAGTCTTAAAAGCATTACACAAACCCTCCCAAAAATCTCCCCATTGCTCAGTCTCCCGGTTCCCCAGACTAAATGTATCTAGCAATTTCAATCCTTCCACATAAAATTGATTTTCCAGGTCACTGCTCATTACAGTTTCTTTTCAATGAATACTTTCTCATTCATTTACAGCCTTCCTAATATGAAACAAAAGCATATGGACATGTCAAATGCCTTCAAGAGGAGGTACCCTTTGTCTTCCCTGAATGTGCACAAAGATAACAATGCAGTAGAATGCATATGGTGATCAGACTAAGGATATCACAGTGCTGTTCTATCTCAGTCTCTCCTGGATGCCTTTGACTCAGAATACTTATTCATTCTATTCAATATAGAATGATTAAGTATTTATACCTATTTCGAATTTGCTAAGTGATAATTTATTGCAGCCAAAGCTTTCCTCTCTCAATCTCCCTTAGGTTTCCTAAGTAAGTATGGTAAGCAGCAACCATCACTATCTTCTTTACTTTGTGAATTGGTGGAGCATTTCATCACAGCGGATCAGCGGTCCGGTGACTGAAAACGGCAACAGAGCAGCGTGGGAGACCAACAGGCGAGGTGGTGGTGGGGGACTGAGAAAAGCAGGGAAAGCTGAATACCCAATAGTGGCAGGAGAAAAACAAGTAGGAAGGGAGGATAAAAAGACAACACAGGACACAAGGCAAAAGAAAATCAAAGGCAAGTAGGCAATAGCAACAGAACACATAAAGGCAGAGAAGTAAGAGATAAATCAAGACCACAAGAAAGCAGGGAGGGAAAGGATCACAAGGAGGAAGGGACAATCAAAGAATATTCCAGTACATGCTAAGAACAAACCTCACACTTAAGCCCACTCAACACTAAAAAATGTTTAAATTGGACAATTTAAATGATCTGCTAGACCCTTAAAATTTTAAACTAGACAATTTGAACTGTAGCACTTTAAATTCTTAAACTAAGATTAAATGTTAGAACCTTACACTTTAGCTAGAGTTGAGTCCCCCAAATTTTAAATTTTAAATGATCTGTTAGAACATCTGTATTCCAAATTGGACATTTTTCCCTTTTAAAAATCTGTGGTAAAACTACACTTTCACTCTCAATTTTTTGTAAACCAACTCATGGAAGAAGAAACTGATATTATTGTGATCTGCAGAACATGTTCCATGTATATACTTATGCCCATAGAATACCCAAACTACATATGTACCAAATGTAAATTAATCAAGTTACTAGAAGAAAAAGTAAAGGGAGGAAACTCTAACCACTCTGAAACTTGACCTACAAAATGAGAAACCCCAAACCTTGCAAAAAGAATATGCCCAAATTGAACATAATAATGACCAAACAACTTCTAAAAGAGTTGACCCCTTAGAGGAAGAAGACAGATGGAAACATGTCACTCATAGAAAAAAAGACAAATCTAGTACAGAACCCCTTTCCAAACCAACCCACTCTGAGGCAGCCCCACTGGTGCTAAGCAATCAATATCATGGACTCTCACTAGAAGAAAACATGCAGACACATAGAGAAGAAGCACCATCAAATGTCCCAAAAAAAGTAGCACCACCAAATGTGATAGAAAAACACCACAAACCTCCCTAGGAAAAAAAAGGCGATAGGATATTCAATTCTCAAGGGAACAGAACCTGCCATCTGTAGACCAGACAGTCAATCCAGAGAGGTATGTTGTCTCCCTGGAGCTAAAATCAAAGATGTGGCTGAGAACCTAACCAAAATAATAAAACCAACAGACTATTACCCCTTTCTACTACTACATGTAGGGACGAATGACACAAAAAAGGACTTGAAAACAATATTGAATGATTATGAGCAGCTAGGTAAGAAAGTCAAGGACTTAAGTGCACAAGTAGTTTTTTTATCTGTACTGACAATGAAAGGACAACATCCGGCAAGAGAACAAAGAATTCTAGAAGTGAACCACTGGCTAAAGGGTTGGTGTCGCCAAAAAAAAAATTGGATTCCTGGACCATGGTCTGTACTACCTCCAAGATGGGCTTTTGGCAAGAAATGGGTTGCACCTCACAAAGACTGGGAAGAATGTTTTTGGAAAATGACTGTCTCAATTTATCAGGAGGTCTTTAAATTAAATTTGAGGGGGGAGGACGACCGGTCTTTAGGATCTTTCAAAAATCCTGGAACACTGGGGAACCACCAGAGGACTAGAAAAGAGCTGATGTGGTTCCCATCTTCAAAAAAGGGGAAAAAAACAGACCCAGGAAACTACAGACCAATCAGCCTAACATCAATACCTGGGAAGATACTGGAAAAGATAATAAAAAAATAGATCTTTACAATAAGTAAAGTAATAACTAGCAGTCAACACGGGTTTGTTAAAAACAGATCATGCCAAACCAATCTTATTTCATTCTTCAACATAGTGACTAAATTAGTAGACCAGCGAGATATTGTGGACATAATATACTTAGACTTCAGCAAGGCATTCGACAAAGTAGACCACAACCTACTTCTTCGTAAACTAGAAAAAAGTGGGATAAATAGCTTCATCACCAGATGGATTTGCAACTGGCTCACAAACCATACTCGACGAGTAGTCCTCAATGGTCTAACTCTACACGGAGAGAAGTAAGCAGTGGGGCGCCAAAAGGTTCTGTCTTAGGCCCAGTACTCTTCAATATCTTCATAAACGACTTAGATGAGGGAATAGAAAGGGAACTCACCAAATATGCAGTTGATACTAAGCTGATAGGAATAGCTAATGCCCTAGAAGATAGGCTCAAGATCCAGATGGATCTTGACAGACTTGAACACTGGGCCCTATCTAACAAAATGAAATTCAATGTAGAGAAAAGTAAAGTCTGACACTTAGGTAAGGAAAACCAAAAGCACACATATAAACTGGGGAAAACCAGGCTTAATAGCAGTGACTGTGAGAGGGATCTTGAAGTCTTAGTGGACAACCAGCTAAATATGAGCCAGCAGTGTGCAGCGGCAGCTAAAAAAGCCAATGCAATCCTAAATTGCATTAACAGAGGGATACAATCAAGATCAAGTGAGGTACTAATACCATTCTATAAAGCCCTAGTAAGACCACACCTAGAGTACTGCATCCAGTTTTGGTCAGCACACTATAAAAAAGATGTTGAGACTCTAGAAAAAGTGCAGAGGAGAGCTGCCACAGAGAGGAGGGGGTCAAGCTGTTTTACCAAGCACCTGAAGGCCAGACAAGGAATAATGGATGGAAACTGACCAAGAAGAGATTCAACTTAGAAATGAGGAGGAACTTTCTGACAGTGAGAACAATCAACCAATGGAACAGCTTGCCTTCGGAAGTTGTGGGAGCTTCATCACTTAAGACTTTCAAGAAAAGATTGGACTCCCATTTGTCACAAATGGTGTAGTGTCTCCTGCTTGAGTGGGGGATTGGACTAGATGACCTATAAGGTCCCTTCCAAACTGTTAATCTGCTAATTCAATTTTTCTCCAATTTTATTGTTTAAAATGTACCTACTTCAAATGATATCATCATCCCAGAACAATGTTTTTATTTAATAAAATAGCTTGCTGCCATTAAAAATATTGTAACTTTGTTCATCTGTGAAGTACACAAAGACTTTCTGTTTCAGATTTCTTGAAAGATAAATAATCAGATTATAAAAATCTCTTAATGGGAATTCAAATTTCTCAGTCTGGAAGTCTCCCAACCTCCATAAAACAAGATTGCAGAAAATGAATTATGTTTATCTTTAAGAAGCTGGCAAAAAATCTAGACTTTGGTATATATCCCAAAGGTCTTGCAGTTAGCTAGTTCTGTAAATCATTTTTAAGATTTCAAAGCTTGTTAAGTGCTAAATAATAAATGTTTCATCTAATTTTAAAAGCAATGTATCATTTCTGAATTTGTTTCTCCATTTTTGAATGTCTTTTTAATAGGTATATCCATTTAGTAATGTGGCTGAATTTGGCTCCTGTGCATAGCCTGAGATCACATTTAATTAGTTTTAAGGCATTATGTAACACCACACACATAAACATAACACAAAATCCTCCAGTTTCCCCAAAGGCATAGAAGACTGTCTACACATACATTCAGGCAAAGAGAACACAATTGATGGCAACATTCCCTTTCAGATATACCACGTATCTTCTAGCATATGACTTTGCCAGGTGGAAGTTCAAGGGAAGATAAGGCCAAATCCAATTTAAAAGAACAAAATAGCCATCCCATCAGAAATTAATAGAGAACCATACTGCAACTCATTGACCAAGCAGTTGAAAGAGGAATTGTGTAAATGAAAAACAAGTATCTCATCCAAAAAGCTCATAGAGTAATTTGTCTCAGACTAGCAGTTTTTTATCATGAATATGCCTGTTAGGTTCCATTTTGTGCATCCAGCCTGCCCATTAAGAAATTGCAAGAACTGTTTTTTAGTTGGCGGTTTTCTTTACGTTGACCTTCATAAGCCAGATAAATTACATCTGCAGAAGAACAACGAACCCAAATTTGAGTAGGCTGCCAAGAGATGGGCCAGGTCAGCAGCTGGCAGCCTTGTGCTAATTCTAGTGTACTAAATAATGAAGAAAAGGGGGAGAACTAAGAAGATACCCATTTTTTTTTTAATTTGATTTATATGCCTCCCTTCTCCGGAGACTCAGGGCGACTTACAATGTGCTCAGCAATAGCCTTCATCCTTTTGTATATTTATACAAAGTCAGCTTATTGCCCCCACAACTGGGTCCTCAGTTTACCTACCTTAGAAAGGATGGAAGGCTGAGTCAACCTTGAGCCTTGGCGAGATTCGAACCTGCAGTAATTGCAGGCAGCTGTCTTAATAACCAGCTTAATAACAGGGTGCCTTAGACCACTGTACTACCAAGGCTCTTGCCCATTGCAGTCTAGAGAGGCTGCACAGACCTAATTTATTCAGTATTTGTATGTGTGCAACCCTTCAAGGGGGATGCGGTGGCTCAGTGGCTAAGACACTGAGCTTGTCGATTGAAAGGTCGGCAGTTCAGTGGTTCGAATCCCTAGTGCTGCATAATGGGGTGAACTCCCGTTACTTGTCCCAGCTTCTGCCAACCTAGCAGTTCGAAAGCATGTAAAAAATGCAAGTAGAAAAATAGGGACCACCTTTGGTGGGAAGGTAACAGTGTTCCGTGCGCCTTTGGCATTTAGTCATGCCGGCCACATGACCATGGAGACATCTTTGGACAGCGCTGGCTCTTCGGCTTTGAAACAGAGATGAGCACTGCCCCCTAAAGTCGGGAACGACTAGCACATTTGTGTGAGGGGAACCTTTACCTTTACCTTTAACTCCATTCAGTTATTACTGAGCAGGTTCTTAAGAGGAGTTGAGTACGTTATAACTGGGGAATCCAGATACCAAAATTTGCACAACTTGCACTTCTCTTCTGCTGATCCTGTAGCAAATGATTAAGTTATTCAAGAGGAAGAAGAGAAATGTTGCATTGAAAAAGAAATAGGGAAGCAGTGGAATCCAGGAGAGATGCAAGTAGAGAGGGCCAAGGCAGAAAGAAACAAAACCACACTGGAAAAATATAGAAAAAGTACAAAAGCTTGAAGAGAGAGCTTGAGCTAGGGTGAAAGAAGCCAGGCTGAGGAAGTGCTGGGAGCCCAGAAGCTCCCATGAACTTGAATGCACTAAGATTAGGTGAGGACATATGAATTATGAAAGGGCTATTGAGTTCTCATGTAGTGGGAAGCCACAGCTTTGGTAAAAGGGCCAGCCAGGCAGCAGATACAAAGGGAGGCAGAGCATTAATACCACTTGCTAGTCAGTAGCTGGCTTGCAGCGGGAAGAAACATGGCACACCTTTAATAGTAATATCTGCATATATGTGTGTGTGTGTGTGTGTGTGTTTTTTTCTATCAAAGCACCTGGTCTACCCCCAATATGGGTGTGTGTGTGTGTGTGTGTGTGTGTGTGCGTGTGTATTGGAATGGAGTGAAGGCGCATCTATAGAGCTGGCAGACAGAAGGTGCAGCTGCCTTACCAAAAAAAAAAAATAATCTCAGGGTAGGGCCGTGAACGGGGAGGCTGGATCAAAATGGAAAATGCCGAATATTTCAAATGAATAAAAGTGTCAGTTCATTCAAACTGCATACCCCACTAATGTTTTTGGTGTGCGGGATTCATATTAAAGTTCAGCCCTAATCTACTTTCCTACAAGTTGATCTGGCGGAATTCAACGCTTGACCTTCTGAAACTGGCAGGCGAAGCTGCAGTCAGTCAATCTCCTTTAATTCCACGGAGATCAGCCGTGGCAACAAAACCAGGCGAGGAACAAAACGGGGGTTAACAGAAAGGGACAGTTGGGAAGGGATCCTCCCTTCGCAAACGGGAAGGAAAAAGCAAAACTCGGTTTTCCAATGGCCAAACTGGAAAGAGGGTGTTGGCTTGCGAGGTTGAAAGAAGAGAGGCAAGCGGGCGGAAAGGCATTGGGGAAAGAGGGCATTTCCGATAAGCAAAAAGCTGCACCTGTGGCGCGCCACCCGGGAAGCGCTCCTGGCGGCCAGGCACCAATGCAGCCACATGCCTCCGCTCCCCATCGCCAGGCCGCCCAGGGAAGGCAACTCGACCGTCGCGGGCAACGCTTGGCTTCCGCATCCGTTTCACCCCAGTCAGATCAATTACCGTAGGCTTTGCTCTCACCTCCCACTGGAAGTTTCCGCCTACCCAATGAACTTCTTAGCCCAATGGGAGCGAAGGGAATCTTCCCCGCCTGTCCTTGCCGGGTTTCTTTCCAGGAACTAGGCGACTCATCAAAACTGTCGTTTTTTAAAAAATCGTAGGGCTGCCCGATTTGGACGAGTCAATGGCCCGTTAAGGATTGAGAGGAGATGAAAACCCAATTCAGGCACCGCTGCGCTTGCCTGGGTTGCAATTATGGAGAGAACGAAGCTTCACTCCTGTTTCCGCTTGGCCGGGAGAGGAGCTGTGACGGACAGCCTCAGAGAGATTCCGGAACACGCAGCAGGCCTGAGTGGAGCGTGTGTGGAAACTTGAGCGGACACCCCCCCACCCTCGCTGTCCGCCTAGATCCGAGTCTGTAATGTAGTCAGTTGCAGGAAAGGTAGCGACTACAACACAACGTTATTGTTCGTTGTGTTGCAATGTTGCAAACTACATTCCAATTACAGTAAGCACATGCAAGAAATACCTTGAAAACAATACAATAGCACTGTGGGGCCTTAGGGCATTTCGGAGGACAATTCCCTTAAGCTTTTACTGGTTATGATGAAGGGGGGGGGGGGCTGGCTATTGGAGTTCAAAATATTCAGAGTATTCCTATTTCTGGCATCTGATATAAACAGACATGCCTTCTGCAATGGGGTGCTTTTGGGGGGGTTTCCCCCCCACTTCCCAATCATAGATAGCCCTGGGATTGGCTGGTTTATTAACACATTTACATGTCCACAAAACTCAGACTATGACTACAATTAGTTACAAAAAATACCCCATAATTATCAATAGAAAATGTTTCATTACAATTGTTAGTTAGAACTGAAATCTTCATTTCTAGTGGTTTCCTTCTTAGTTCCCACCCGGACCTCACTTCTATTAAATTTTTCCAGGAATATTAATTTATTATATTAATTAACTGGACAGAAATTTGCTAATTTATTAAGGGACAGTGATGTGCTTACTTTTGAAAATTGTCAAGGTGAACATGCCTTTTCATTTTCATAAGAAAAAACAGGGCTGCTTTATACAGATCTTTCTTTTTGTAACATTTCCTACTGTGATTCTACATATTCATATATAGAAGTGCTGTAAAAGGGAAAAAGCCTTGCACCTATGAACAAGCTTGTGAGAGATTTTAGTCGTGAAAATAATAGGGGGGAATGAAGGGTCTATTCTAGGCCACATTAAAAGTCACTTTTTTTTCCTGGAAAAGGATAAATGCTAGCCAGATTTCATGTGTGCTGTTTGTCTCTCTTGAATAGAGATAGAGTGAAAAAATATTTTATATGCTTTGTCTGTATACAAAACACATGTTCTAAGTCTCTTTTTATAATGGTAGAGAATTTGAAGAATCCAACCAAGTCAGTTTAACATCAGGTTAGTTCTTAGTTCTTGTAAGACCTGACAATTTAGGGTTTCTTAAAAATATTTCAGGGCGGCTTACAATGCGTTAAGCAATAGCCTTCATACTTTTGTATATACCTGCTTAGTAGGGCTTTTGCCCTCCCCCCCACAGCAGTGTTTTTTTATATACAAAGTCAGCTTATTGCCCCCACAAACTGGGTCCTCATTTTACCTACCTCGGAAGGATGAAAGCCTGAGTCAACCTTGAGCCTGGTGAGATTTGAACTTGCAGTAATTGCAGGCAGCTGGTGCTATTTAACAGCACCTCAGTCTGCTGCGCCACCAAGGCGCCCCATTAAGTCCTTCTCAAAATATATTTCAGTTTCTTACTGCTGTGATCCGATTTTTTTCAAACAGAATGGGTTTTTTGGAGTCAGAAAAGGGCAACACTCAGTCCAATAAGACAAACGTTGCTTCATTCCTTGGAAGCTACAGGAAACAATGTACCTGAGTGCTTTTATTCATCTGAGAGACAGTTTTCTCCAACCTTGCGTTCTCCAAATGGATTGGACCAACTTCCTTAAGTCTTTGGGAGCTTGTTATGAAATCTAGCAATGCTTATGCTATGGTCATCCAAGGGCATTTGAATTCATAGATGTGTTGTTTCAGTGTAACCTTTCCAGAAAATTCTATGTTATCAATTTTTAAAGATTTCCAATTCACTAACCTCTGGGGTTTTAATCGGTGATAAATTACAAATGGAAAATTAAAACAAGCAAAACAGCCTTCTCTAGCTTATAAGAACATGTAGTTGCAAGTTAAAGGATATTGACTAGACATTCAATTGCAAATGGAATAGAAGTGTAAGCCTAATGTTTGGATTGCAATCTTCAACTTTTTACCATTCAAGATTTATTTCAAAATAGGCATAGACAGAATTTACAGTTTATGTAAAACTTTATGTATCGTTAGAGTTAATCCATAGATAGTAGTTCAGTTGTTCCGTGCAAGACCAAGAAATAATTGCATCTAGCTTTCTATAGTTGCCTGTACCAAAAATAAAGACACTTTAAAAATGAACTCAGTTCTGGTGCCTATGTGGGCATATCCACTCAGGACAAAAGTGATTTGCTAATATCACTAATATCACTAATATCTTTTGGGGGGATTTTTTTTTAATTGCCTTGTCTGGCCCAGAGACGTCTCATTGGTGATTTCCTATCCAAATAATATTTAGGTGCAATCCTATTTATTTTCAGACCCTAAGACAAAGTCTGCCTTTATTAAGCCTGAACAAACTATATCAGAAAATGCAGAAATCTTCATCAGGGAAAAATATGTTACAAAAAGAATTCTTGTGGCTCCTGGTAACATTGTCATTGGTAAGGATATTTTGCTACTATGTTTGTTTGTTTCAGTGTTCAATTAGGGCAATTTCACTCTGCAGGCTAAGCTGCTGGTCATCCCTGCTGCTCCCAGCTGTTTTATAAGCCAACTTCAGAAATCCTAAACCTGATTTGGGCAACAGGGCCAGATGGGTGCTCAGTCCAAACTATCACCACCCAGGACGTCCATAGTTATTTCCCTGCTTCTTGTCATTCCCATCCATGCAGAGAAGACAAACTCTGATGGCCACCCTGGGATAGACAGATGAAACAGCGTCCTCATTCTGCTTTTATGGACCATTTCTCACAACAGTAGTTTTTTATGCATTTCTTTTACTTTTCCAAATCATCATACACATGGATTCTTCATGCCATCACACCATATTCCTATCACACTAACACAGACCTTTCTTGATTCGTTAATCCCTGTGGTATCACTTTTTTTTTATCTGTTGCCATAACAATCTAAATAACTGGGGAGTAGCTTATTCTTTAATTCCTACATTCCTCTGAAGGTTCATGAAAATGTTGCAGCAAGGAAGATCTAATAGTTTAGCCTCACAAAGTACCTACCTTGAAAGTTTAAAAATTAAAGGGGAAAGGGAGAAAGAAATGGCACTGGACACCACTGACGGTTCAAATATGAAAACTAGCATTTTGAATCAAAGCTGGAAGTCTTCCTAGGAGTAGGAAGACGACATTTATTTTAAAAACAAAAGTACCTATCCCCTCCCCCCACCAGCCCAATGCCTATAGGGACCAAATCAGCAGTGAAATCCACTTATCTTCGCTACTGGTTCAAGAACGGGAGTGCACAGGAGTGCATGCATGCTATGTGCACGCATGCCTCTTCTGCGCATGTGCAGAGGGTCAAAAATGGGATGTAATGACATCCCAGCAGGTGACAGAGCCTCCTGCCACTGGCGCTACCAGTTCGTGCAAGCCGGATAGATCCGGCCGGATTTCGCCGCTGGACCGAATGGATATGACCTTGGGAAAATATTGAGAAGTGTTACAAAAGCAGTTAGTAAAGAAAAATGCCCTGCGTCCTGGGAAAGGAAAAAAATTAGGGGAAAGAATCATGGTGGCTCCTCCCTGATTTAATGGTATATAAGAGGGAGAGAAAGGAAAATGCAATTAGACTTGCAAGATTCCTTATTGAGATAGCAATAGCACTTAGACTTATATACTGCTTCACAGTGCTTCACAGTTCTCTGTCTAAGCAGTTTACAGAGTCAGCATATTGCCCCCAACAATAGATTATATTAACAGAGTCTTTTTGCGGAATTTATTTCCTGATCTGGACAAATTCAAAGGTCTGGCAATAGCCAATGCATGGAACCCTCAAGATGCCACAACAGACTCTCTGAAGACTCTTTCAACCTGTTTAATTCTAGGAATATACTTGACATTGTGACAGGGCCACCAACTTCTACACTCTACTACAGTAACCTTATTAGCCTCTTGAAATTCTTTAAAAGGTCAGAGGGTCTTTAAAAATTAACCTACTTTACTATGAATATTCAGACACTATGTTTTAAAGCCCAGAACACATGACCCTTCTTTGCTATAAGTTAGCTATGTGCAGTGTAGGAATTAAATACATCTGTGTTATGGGTTTTATTTTGTGGATTTTAATTTTGTAAGCTGCTCTGGAGTCATTATGCTTGAGTTGAGCAGCAATATAAATTAGAAAGATAGAAAGATAGATAGATAGAAAGATAGATAGATAGATAGATAGATAGATAGATAGATGATAGAAAGAATAGATAGATAGATATAGATAGACAGACTGACTGACTGACTGACCGAACCCTTTTCCACCAAGTGTTTTGAAGAAAAAGCTGGAAAGAGGAAATCTTTCTTTGTGAGATCAAGATGCAACGTCTAAGTATATCTCTGAAAGACAGTTGGCAAGAGATGAAGGGGAAAGCAGCAGCAGCAAATATTATTTGCTGCTGCTATTTAATCCTCTGTGTCACTGTGGACATTAGCCTCCATTCAAGTTCAAAGAAATGATTTATTTGAAAAGTTTTAAGGTGCTGATTCTCCCGTTGTGTCTGCAAATATTTTTCCTGACTTGCCACCAGTCTAGGGAGTTGTAAAATTCCATTAAATTGGTTTGATCACAGGTGATCTTTCCAGGGATTACTCTTGTGGTTCCAAACAAGCAAAAATGAAACAAGGGGTCACTTCACATAAACATCGATAGATTGAAAACTATGGTGCCACTGGAATACCTTGCAGTGCAAATAAACCACTGCAGAGCACAGACTTCAAGTTGAAGGAAAAACATAAGCACAGTGGCAGTAACAGGATGCCTCTTCTCTCAGATACTAATCCAGATTAATACTTTCACTAGGTTATATACATCACAATAATGAAAAATTATAATGGGTGCATTTTCTTCCATAACTTTTAAATAGGTCTTTAGTCATGTGTTCCATTGAAGAGAATTGAAACATTCCATTAAGATACTTAGAATACTGACTTTTCACTTCTTTGTAGCTTGTTTCACTCAAGCCTGCTCAAATGTGAGACTTTTCATTTTAATAACTCATTCTGAGATCTTGGATACTGGCTGTCATCTCAATTGTAGTCCCATCCCCTGTATGTGGAATGCCCTTTCTATGCAGGCTGCCTGACACCAGGAACAATATTTTCCTAGTTTCTAACTAACATTTAAAAAAAATAACATTTTTAATTGCTGAAGCCAAGGGGCCAGAGTACTGATTGGCCAGTTTTAGTATATGCCAGTTTTGGTGCCACATCTGCCACATATGACTTGATTTTTCTTTCATGATAAATAGAAACAAATTCGGTGGAATTTGACTGTGAGTCCTTTATGAACTTTTTGTTGAAAAAGGGGGGGGGAAAAGGAATTTGTGATTTGTGGGTTTGACAATTAGAAAAGGCACAATACGAAAGGAAGGGAGCCATAATGTAACCTTTGAGAGGATATAAATGTATTTATAACTGCTATAAAGAAAATTGGAAGCCACGCCTTTAAATCTTTCTATCTCTTTTTTTGCTTCTACTTATCACTTTTCTTTTCTTTTATTTTACTTTCTTGTTTCTTTAAACTTGTATTGTTTTTACTTTACTTTTACTTAACTGAAAAAATTAATATAAGCTGTGAGCCACCAGCATTCTTATTCACAGGAATTGCCTTCTGAAACCAAACAGGACTCAATCATTTGGACAAATGTGTGTTTTTAATACAAATAGTCTTCAATTTATGACCACTATTGAGCCCAAAATTTCTGTTGTTAAGTGAGACAGTTAAGTGATTTTTGTCCCATTTATGACATTTGTTGCCACAGTTGTTAAGTGAATCACTGCAGTTGTTAGGGTTGCCCAAATATGAATCAGTTGCCTAGCGTCTGAATTTTGATCACATCACTATGGGGATGCTGCAATGGTTGTAACTGTGAAAAATGGTCATAAGTCACTTTTTTTAGTGCTGTTGTAACTTTGAACGGTCACTAAATGAACTGTTGTAAGTCAAGGACTACCTGTTATATACCATATAACTCATGTGGCATGGATAAATATGCTTGTTTTTAAAATATATTTATCCTTCTTCTGCCTCAATTTAGAGTTACTTACCTAGTCCTATTTGCCAATCGACCTAACAATGGACTTTCCCCCAGCTGCTGAAAGTTGGCTGATATTATATCAGGAAGTAATATGCTGAGCAAGGCTGATATCCAATGATAATGCCACACAGAATAATATAGTCCCACCCATACTCCTTATACAAAACCTCATTGTAGTCTGAGTGGTTAAAATGTTGGATCTGTGAATAGGACTGTTTTTGCTTGTTACATCCCAAGAATTCCAGGCATCTCACTTATAAGGCTATAAATAGTAGTTGTCTGAAGGAATCTCCCACTCCATTATGGGCAGAGGGGGCTTTCATCTCAAAAGAAAAGCTGCGCACAGAAGAATGAAACTCCATTTCCTCCAAATTTTATTTTATTTTTTTAAAATAAGTATTTATTAAATTTTCCAACATTTAAAACACAAAACACATATTTACATTTATAACAGCTTTTCCATATCAGTGTCAATATCTTTCGTAACAATCCTATTTACAAAAATTCTATTTATATACATCACTATCCTATGTTATATCCTTATTCAAATTATAATATTATCTACTCACAAATCAATATTTCTTATAAATTTTACATTCTATATATTATATTTTTTACAATTTATATCTTAACCATCTATTCCAAATTTGATAGTACTCAGTTTCTTCCCTCTCCTTCATGTCCATAGACAGTCTATCCATTTCTGCACATTCATAAACTTTCCTTATTATCATGTGGTCTGGAGGCATCTCCTCCAAATTTTAAAGCAACTCTTTCATAAATATGACACTACAGGTATTGTGTACATAGAAACTACAACGTCAGTTCTTTGGAACCTGTCTTTGTTTACATTCCTCCCAAAATAATAACAATCACAATGAGCAACACAATATTTCACCGGCAGCAATATATACAGAGCAGTTTCCTGAAAAACAAAGCATCTTATCTCAGTTATAGTCAGCCCCATTCTCTTCCGTTGAAGACACTGCCCCTGGCAGCATCCTAATAGCATTATGTCAGCCCAGCAAGGCCAAACCCAGAACTAAAATAGTTATTTCCTGATACAAATCTTCAGGGCACCAGAGGGTTTCCGTAATCAGAGCCAAAGGTTTAAAGGAATGAGCTGGTGTGTTTTGCTGTAAAAAAAGTGCCATTCTTTACTTGGCAGAAAGTGAGGAAGAATTTCTTTGGGGCATGGCATAAGACTATTAGCCAGAGTTTGCTGTTGGAAGAGATTAAAACTATGTCCAGATAATGCTGTACTGTCATTTCCAAAAGGACATATGGAATTCTCTCTTCTTGCCTCTTCTGGGACAGTATCCAGGGGCAACAGACCTTTATTGCATAAATGCCTTCTTTTTAATTCTGAATTAGCATGAAATTTCCAGCACTGCAGCTGGTACATTGTGTCATTTACCATTATGTTTTTATGTGGATCATTGATTGTAATAATAACCAAGCTATCATAACTTTAACTAGGCACAGGTAACACAAAAAACCCAAAGCTTCAACACTCATCTAACTGGCTGCTGCAGGAACAGAATGTAGAATGAGCCAACACCATTTTTTCCTTATACAGGCAATGTTTTCATTAAGAGCTTGCAAATAAAAATAGAGCCACACGGGGAGGGAGAAATTACAAATACACAATTGAGTCTGGAAAGGTAGAAAAGCTCTGTATCTAGTAGGAGAAGGATAATGGAGAAAATACAATATGGTTTATTTTTAGTCATTGTTGACAACAAACGCTTTGACTGTATAGGTCATGGCAGAAACTAGAACATATTAAAGTTAACACATAAACCAGAACATCCAATCATTCTTCTGACAAATTATTACAGTGAACAAGGATCTATTGTAAGAACTAAATCTGAGGAATAGAATGATTCAGAATAGAAAAAGGGTATGAGACAAAAGTTCTCATTATCTCAGTCTCTATTTAATTTAACACAAGTCAAGGTTGACTCAGCCTTCCATCCTTTCTAAGGTAGGTAAGTTGAGGATCCAGTTTGTGGGGGCAATAAGCTGACTTTGTATAAATATACAAAAGTATGAAGGCTATTGCTTAACGCATTGTAAGCCGCCCTGAGTCTCCGGAGAAGGACGGCATATATATCAAATTTAAAAAACAAAAAACACCATTAATATATGTTCTATGATGGATCTAGCCCAATAACTGACAGACAAATTCTTTTTCTCAATTGGATTCCTTTATTGTAGGCTTTGGTTAATCCTAGGCCCTGTGGCACCAGAGGTCACTGACCTTAAACCTTTCTCTTTCAGGTATACATCTGGAACTACTGGAGTACCTCATGGTGAGAGCTTTTATACCCAGGAGGAGGGGCCAGGAGGTAAGGAGTGGCTATGGGAGTGATGGGATATGTGACTAGTTAACCCCTGCAGAGCCAGGTGCCCAGGGTGGCAATACAGTTAGACATTTACCATGACAAAACCCCCTCTAAATGTCTAACTAGGTACAGGTATACAAAGGTTACATACATACATACAAGTTACATACATGTATATGCATAGGTTACATATAAACACATATCTTCGACATGAGGTATGCATGCTGTTTGTGTGGTAGGGGCTTTGTGAGTATGTCTGCGGTTTGTTCCTCAGTATTGCAGTGTACAGCCTTAATGAAACCTATTTCTGAGAACTGCCTGACATGTTTGCACTTGATGTCAATGTGCCTAGATCGCTGACCTACGGCATCGGCTCTTGAGATTTCTATCTTTGTTATCTTCATGAATGACTATTGGGTATGAGGGCTCAGTCCAAATACTGCTGAGCAGGTCGTCGAACCATACCAGGTTGTTTGCGGCCCTGGATAGGCAAACAAATTCTGCTTCTGTGGTTGAGGTAGCTACTAGTTTTTGCTTCCCTGTGTACCAATGAATGGGGCAATTGTTGAGCAGCAGCACATAGCCGGAGGTACTTTTCCTGCTTTTTATGTCCCCAGCCCAATCAGCATCAGCGTAGCAGGTTAGTTTTGGTTTCCTGGATATATCTGGTTCGAGGCAGAGCTGGGCATCCATGCTGAATTTTAGGTATCTAAGCAATCTTTTGATGGCGTTTCAATGGGATATGGTAGGTTTGCTTACGTGCTTAGATAGCAAGTTAATGGCTAAGGCGATGTCGGGCCTTAGTTGGCTATATACAGCAGTGACCCTATAGTTGATCTGTACAATTTATTGTCAGCGAAGGGTTCTGATTCATCGTACATACTCTTCAGGAACTCTGGCTGCATGGGAGTTTCGCTGGGTTTTGCCTCAGACATGTTACACTTTGATAGTAACTCGATGATTTTTTCTTTCTGGGAAAGGCGAAACCCTTTATCAGTTTTTATTACATGGACTCCTAGATACTTATCGATTTTGCCCAGCAATTTTAAGGAGAAGTGGCTACCCAGTTCAGTGGCGAATTTGTCACATCTGTCCTTATGCTTGCCTATGTACAAGATGTTGTCCACATAAACGAGCACACCTTCGAATGAGTTATTTTTTTTCTTTGTGAAAAGGCATTTGTCGGCTGAGGTGGCTTCAAAACCCATGGATCTAAGAGCCTTGGCTAGGCAATCACACCACCCCTTGCCTGATTGTTTGAGTCCATATAGGCTTTTATTCAGCAGCCAAGTTTTGTTCTCGCCTTCGTTATATCCGGGTGGTGCTTTGACGTATATCTCTTTATCCAATTCGGCGTGGAGGTACACAGTTCATACATCGAATTGAAAAACTTCCAGCCCTAGGATGGTGGCCACTACCAGGGCACTTTTGACACTTTCGGCCCTGACAGTAGGCGAGTAGGTGTCTGTATAATCTTTGGGGTATCTCTGGGCGAAACCCTGCGCAACCAGTCTCGCCTTGTACAAGGCCTTGTTGTCCTCTAGTGTCTTGACCCTGAACACCCATTTGGTTCCTATCGGCTTTTTGTTCTCTGGGACTTGAGCGGGCGAATACACTTGCAGGTTCCTGAGGCTCTCCATCTCCCTCTCCATGGCTGATATCCATTTCTCTCTCCCTTCCTGGGGAAGGCCAAGTATGTCCTCATATGAATTGGGTGTGGTGTGGTTGTCATGGATGGTCCTGATGTAATCTTCCAGCCTCTTTGGTAGCTTGTTCCTGTTCTCTCTGATTGGTCTACTGGGGGTTGGCTCGGTCTCTTGCATGCTGTCTGCCTCTTTGTTTGTCAGGTTATCTAGCTTCAGAGAGGGATGCCCTTCTTTCCACTCTTTGGTGTTTACTTTATGGTGGTTGGTTTTATATGCTTCCACCTTCTCTTCCCCCTGACCATGTTCGAGTGTGTTTCTATTGGCGAGGATGTCGTTGGAGTGAACCCTCGACCAGTTTGTGTTTTCATGAAAATCGGCAGACCTGGATACGACAAACCTGTTGTTGTTGTCAATGAACCTGTATCCCTTTGTGCCTGGTTCATAACCCACGAATCTCAGTCTCTTTGATATTTTCTCTCCCTTCTTTCTCAATTGTCTGGGAATGTGGACATCAGCTGGGGCACCAAATATGTGCAGGTGTGCAATGTTGGGCTTTCTGTTATATAGCATCTCGTATGGGGTCTTATTGATGGAGCTTGACCACAGTCTATTTAGAGTGTAATTGGAGTAGTGCAATGCCTCTGACCAGAAATGCTGCCCCATACCAGCATCCTACAAGGCGCACCTCATCATCATTTGTAACACTCCATTTTTTTCTCTCTACGACCCCGTTCTGGAAGGGTGAGAATGGCGAAGAAGTGTAGTGCGCTATGCCCCGCTCCCTCAGCCACCTTGTGAATTCCTTGGCCATGAACTCTGAGCCCCTGTCTGTCATTATTTGCCTTATTTTCATATTGTGTTGCATTTCTATTCTTTTGTGAAATTCTTTAAATCTTTGGAACACCTCGTTTTTGTGTCTGAGAGAGTAAACATACCCATATCTGGTATAGTCATCCACAATGGTGAGGAAGAATCGTTTCCTAAGCCCGACAGATGGTTTCAATGGCCCTACCAAGTCCATATGTACTAATTGGAAGGGGGACTCTGTGGTTCGTTTTGATCTTTTGGGTATGGCCTTAACTCTAATCTTTGAACGCTTACAGATTGAACACTCCAGGTAATTTTTGCAGTTCTTTACTTTGAGGCCTTCGGTACACTCTGACATTCTTTTTACAATAGGAAAACTGATGTGCCCCAGCCTCCTGTGAAGGAGGTGGGCGCAGTTATCATGCAATGGCTTCCCAATGGATACAGATTTATTGACATTTTGTTTACATTTGGCTGCCCCCTGCTGTACCCCCTCTGTTTCTGTGTTTTCATCTGCCTCGCGGTCTGTGCTCGTGTTAACGCTTCCTCCCTCTCTTGCGTTGGGTGTGAAGTAGGGTAGGTCCTCATGCATGGTTACCTTTCCTATCTCCTCCCCCTGCTTGATCATGTAGGCCTTTCCATCCTTAAACATTACTTTGATGTTTGTGTCCTGTGTCAGCTTAGTAATGGCCAGTACGTTTTGGGGTATCCCTGGCACTTACAGTACCCCCTCTATTCTTCCTATTTGTGTAATGTATGTGTTTCCCTTCCCTACTACTTGGACTTTGCTTTGGTTTGCTACTTTTAATTCAAAGTCTGCTTCTGTGAATGAGTCTAGTAGTCTTGGGTTGCAAGTTGTGTGATTTGTGGCTCCTGAATCCAGAAGCTACATGTCTCTCTCTATCTTGTGCTTAGTGTCTGAGTCATCGTGTCTGAGCCCATACATAGAACCCGGGTTACTGTCTCTAGAGTTGTCCCTATGTTCATGTGCCTCCTGGGGTTGGGGGACCACCCTCGCCCCTTTTCTTTGGGGTTCCTGCGCTCAGGTGATCGCCCTCCTCTGTTGTTGTTGTGTCTCTTATCCCTGTGGTTTCTAGGGCAGTCTCTCCTTAAGTGGCTCCTAGACCCACAAGAGTAACATTCTGGGGTGTTTCTTGCTCTATCCTGAAACTCAACCCTTCTAGTAGGCCTGGGATCCCTCCTGGACAGGTGGCAATCCCTCCTCAGATTGTCCTCTGCAATAAGTTTGTTGGTTAATGTGCCTAGTGATAGGTATTGCAAGCTGAGGCTATCTAGTTGGGTTACGAAGCTGTCCCAACTGCTATCTAAAGAGTTTATGATGATACTTATCATGCTCTCTTCAGTGATTATTTCGCCCCTCTGCATGAGCTCTGCCCTTGTTGTGTTTAATTTTAATATGTGCTCGCTCATGGGGACCCCTGTCTTATGTCTAGCAGAGTGGAACTCTCTAGATATTCTAGTGGTTGTGGCCCTACTCTGGCTGTAAAACAGGCTGCATAATTTTTGTACAATTTCATAAACAGTCAGGTTATCTTCAATGGTAGGATACATGGCAGAAGGAATAGTAGTTAACATAATACAAAATGCCCTATGGTGAATACAATCAATTTCCAGTGACCAGGGTTTCTGTAGAGGTTTGTTGACTAGAAATAGTGCATTTTCTCTCATGAGAGCAATTTGCAACTGCTGTCTCCACTCTATGATATTACCCCCATCTAATTGTAATTTTGGCAAATTGTCATAATTTGCCCCAGAATTGTTAGGAAAGTTACTTACTGGGGGGAGCTGTCCATGGTCCATTGTGTGATTGAACTCGCAATAAGGCTTTGGGATGTCTGTTGCTAGTCTGTATTTACTTGTCTCTATGTAACTTGCTTCTCTTGTTGCAGGCGGAGATTGGCCATGCGTGAAGCCCATTTCGCACCGGAGCCCGTCGAGTGAAGGTCCTGCTGCTGGAGCTCCTAGGCCTAGGCCTAGGGCTGTCGGGGGAAGGCTGGACTCACCCCCAGTGGGTCTGTAGTCTCCTCTGGAAGGCGGACGTGATTGCAGGACGGCTGGATCCCCGGCGAAGAATGGAAGAAGGTGAGGAGGCGAAGCGCTTGCAGGTTGAGGACTTCTCTGGATTGGCGGCGCAGCAGCGGCGGAGGTTGTAAATTGAGGATCTCCTGTGTTCGGCGGCGCGGCAGCAATGGCGGTGGCGAGTCCTGCCTCGTGTTCGTTGGTCCCCGGTCATGCGAAGTGGTCTGGTGGATGTTGTGGGATGGGTGAGTGGCCGGTCCTTCTCCTTGCCCTCGGGTCTCGCGTAGTTGGTGCTGCGGGTGGCGGGTTCGAATCCTGCGGTTGAGCTTTCCTGCAGGTGGCCGGGTTTTGGCGCTGGCTGTTGGTATGCGCGGTCTCTCTGGGTAGCTGTGACTCAGTCGCCCAGTCGTTGTTGGCTGTCCTGGTGTTTTTTTGGCTTCCAGGGTTTCTTTTTCGGTTTTTGAGTGCTGCGGGAGGCTCGAAGGTGGAGCCAAGTGCAGCGGTGAGGGTCTCAATTGCTTTTTGCACTTCGAGATCGGTAGGTGATCTTTTCTTGGTTGGTGCTTGCTCTTTGTGGTCGCTTTCTGGGTGCCCCACGTCTGTTTTGGGGTTCGGGCATTTTCGCGCCAGGGAATTCAAATCTTGGCTTCCCATTGGTCGGGGCCCATCCCAAGATGGCTGCCGGGAAGAAGGCGCGAAAATGAGTTCGGCCAGCTCGAGGTCATCGGACTGGAATGGCCTACCTTTTCCTGGTTGAGTTTCTTCCTCGGGTGTCTTCGGGGCCTCAATCGCTGCTTCTTGCTGCTCGAGAAGGCTTTGAAGGTCCGCGATGAGGTTTTCCTTGTCACTGCTTGCCTCCATCAGTTTTAGGATGGAGAGTTTGAATCTGTTCATTTTCTGCATTGTTTTTTTTTCTAGGGTGGTGGTCTTTTCAGGTGACCTCTCCTTGTCAGATTGTGAGTCCAGGCTGGAGTCCTGCTCGCTCTCAGCTGTCGTTTCCTCCATAGTGGTGCCTTGGATGCAAGTAGCTCAGCCATCTTCTTGGTGAGCGCTCTTGTTTGTACTCTGTTTGTTTCCTCAGGGCAAATGTTGGGTTCAGACATCATTTGGAGTTATGGGCAACCATCCTCTGCTACCATATTGTTCTATGATGGATCTAGCCCAATAACTGACAGACAAATTCTTTTTCTCAATTGGATTCCTTTATTGCAGGCTTTGATTAATCCTAGGCCCTGTGGCACCAGAGGGTCACTGACCTTAAACCTTACTCAGCATGCTTAGTAGATTTACAGTTCATGTTGGAGAAATAAAGCTAGTTTGGTGTGGGGGGGGGGTTTCAAGCATCAATAAAAATGGACAGTGTTATGGCTTAAAGGAAAGCCCTGTGTCCACTAACCCCCACAAAATGATAATATAGAGAGTCTTGGTTTTTAGAGGAAGTTCTGAGGAGAATCTCCACCACTTTACCTTTGTAAGAAAGTTAGCACCCACCCATCTCCTAGAAGAATGAAATATTCTAGGAAATATTAAAAAGGCAGAATATTATATTTCCCTGGATAAGAAAAGGAAAAACATGTTTTTAAAGTCAAAGCAGCTTCCTGCAGCTCCCTGCCCCCCACTTCAGCTCCAGGGTGATGGGATTAAGACCTTCACCCTCAGGACATGATAGGATCAGCCACAGTGGCGCAGTGGTTAGAGTGCAGTACTGCAGGCTACTTCTGCTGATCACCGGCTGTCAGCAGTTTGGCAGATCGACTCTCACCAGGCTCAAGGTTGATTCAGCCTTCCATCCTTCCAACATGGGTAAAATGAGGACCCAGATTGTTGGGGGCAAGAGGCTGACTCTGTAAACTGCTTAGAGAGGGCTATAAAGCACTGGGAAGCGGTATATAAGTCTAAGTGCTATTGCTATTTCTATTAACTTCCTTACCTCATCACCCAACAACATTCAACCAAGCCTGGGACTCAAGATAACCTACAAAGTTATCCCTGCATGGCCCCATGGGAGTCTGACAACCAGTCAGGATACTTGCCCTTACACAGGAACAGGAAGCTCCAAGGCGGGGCCCAAGAGAGGATATAAATCTCTCTCTCTCACTCATGTGCTTATTTTCCCCAGGACCTCAAACCATGTGGCCCTATCCACCATTAAACCATCTTTCTAAATAGCCTCCATGTTTCCAGTGCCTTTCTCCCCACTTGGAACTGAACCCAGATGGACATTTCTTCCAACATCTTCTAATAAAATGATGCACTATGACTGGCCATGCCCAAGCTGGAACCAAGACACCATTGATACCTGATACATTCTCAACATCCCATGTCTCTCTGTTAGTCCCAAAAGACTGCCTTTCCAAAAGTATTTTGTTTGATGAAGTTGTTTGGGCTGATCCAAGCAACAGTGAATATCAAATTTAAAAGATGACAGCAGTTATAACATTGCTCGAAGAGATGGAGAAGACATTCACACATAAGTGAGACTTCTCTAGCAGATTATTCCTCCTAATATAGTTTTCCTTTTAGCAGCTGTATTATGTACCTCTGAGGGAGGGAAGACTTCTATTGGCAATAAAATAAAATAAAATCCACTTGAATGATGCTTAGTAAGGAACTGGAAAACTTGTTGTTTGGGATACACTCATAAATCAGGTACCATATATTCAGTGGTGTTTTGTGAACCCTTTTGAATTGATCACATTTTAAGTCATATTTATGCAGAAATATTGAAAATTCAAACAGGTTTATAATTTCAACACCACTGCAGCAGACTTAAGTTGTATGTGAACATAAAACACTAAGGAAGGAGTGAAGTCTAGAATTCTATCTTCACTTTAATGCCAAAGCTATGCTCCTTCCTATATTTCCAGAATTAAAAAGAATATGAGATTGGATAATTATCATGCTTACTGATTCCAAGGTTGTGAGATTTAGTGAGGTCATTAAGCACTAAATCCCTTAAATCCAGTATGAACAAAGAGAAGGTCATCTAAACCAAGTTTAATTTTATCCAGTAAAAGCCATGGTTACAGAATAAGCATTGTTACTATTATTAAAAGAAATGTCTGAATTTTATACATCTTTCCTTACTGTATACTGTGAGTTCAAATCAAAAGCTGAAAGAAGAGCAAACAATGTAAAGTTAAGAATGATCTAAAACTGGTCAAGAGAGGTTGATTGTTGAGGTTGATTGTTATTTAAGAGAAAAGAGTTGGGAAATGTCAACAGGATTATATACTATCTAGCCTAACTGGAGGATTTGAGTTTTGCTATTTACATACAAGTCAGGAATCCACCCCCATTTCACCCCCACCACAAAAATCAACTTCACATAGAAAACTAAAACCTCCCAGGCGATATAAATAAATCATAATCTGCACAAGTTGCTAACTTTCACCCAGCAAACTGCGGGTAGTCTAGCAATTTGTATCATGGTTCATTAGGCAGTTCATTACATTATATAATCATGGACTCTTTAAAATAATAATTATAATTATAAATACATCATTGGAAAATAAGAGTGCAAAGCCTAATGGTGATTATAGTTCTTTATAGCATAATTTTATTCTTCTGAGTAGGTGTTATGATAAAAATCCCACATTTTGCATAGGTCACTGGAAAATATCACTGATCTGAAGCAAATCAGAATTTAGGAAGCAAACACTTCTTTTGATTATAACATATAATTAAACATTACCTTAGTTTTTTTATGATTTACAAATTATATGGATGTGATTAGATATACAGTAGATCCCCAGTAAAATAATTCCCCCTAAATTCTGAGCTTCTACTGATGCTCAGTGCATTTTTACAGATTGTTCGGCTTGATGATTTGATCTTTGATTAAGGCTGCCAACCTATATCCATTTATCTGGGGAGACATTTAAAAGCTTATACTGCTAAATACTGTAATTACCGGTACCTGCAAGTTGGCTGGTGAAAAAAGGTTGCTTGTATTTGACTCACACATTTTTTCTTCCAGTTAAGCAGGCCAATTTAATTAGTTATTTTCTCTTCTGTAAAAGAAAAAAAAAAATACTGTATTTCAGGGTCACATTGGAATTAGCATCTCAGAACTTGGTTCTCGACATCCTATGAATTGAAACATCTTAAATGATTTCGTGGCCAGAAGAATGGGATACTTTTCAGATGGTTCCTATTTTTCCTTATAGTACCTGAATATCTGAATTAGAATAGTGAAAGGAAGCAGTTTGGGATAAGGCGGGGGGGGGGGGCGTGTGTGAAGAGGGGAATGCAGAAAATCACAATTTTTGGCTATGGTTGTAGAAAGACAGCAGAAGAGTGATTGTGGTACACTTTATCTTTCAAACTAGAACTGTAAATTGCAATGTTGGCTTTATATCCCAGATGTGAAGGGCAACCATAAACCACAGCTTGCCAGTTCCATTTTAACAACTCACTATTTATTTATTTATTTTATTCAATTTGTATCCCGCCCTTCTCCAAGTGGACTCAGGGCAGTGCACAGCCAGACTAAAACACATACCAATACAAAATTTAAAATTATTAAAAGAATTAAATAACTGTGGCCCAAAAATTTTAAACATTGAAACTAAAACCCCTTGACAATTTAAAAAGCTAAAAACTAAAAAGGGGAGGGGTTTCACGCCAGCCCTGCTTGATGGAAAAGTTTTTAGGGCACGGCGAAAAACCCGGAGATCCGATATCCTTCGTATCTCCAGGGGCAAATCGTTCCAGAGGGCAGGAGCTGCCACAGAGAAGGCCCTCCCCCTGGGGGTCGCCAGCCGACATTGCCTGGCTGAAGGCACCCTGAGGAGTCCCTCTCTGTGGGAGCGCACTGGTCGGTGGGAGGCTATCGGCGGCAGAAGGCGGTCCCGCAAATACCCAGGTCCCATGCCATGGAGCGCTTTAAAGGTGGTGACCAACACCTTGAAGCGCACCCGGAAGACCACTATGTCCTCAAAGAAGTATTAGAAGGAAAAGCAGGTTTAAACAGTAAATGAATAAATATGTACTACTTGTGATTCTTGCTATAAGATGGAGTGTTACACAAGAACATCTCTTACCTTAGACCAGGGGTGTCAAACTCAAGACCCACGGGCCGGATGCAGCCCATGAGGTGGTTAGATTTGGCCCACAGGGCTGCCCTGGAAGCAGCAAAGGCCTGTTCTGCCCCAGCTATGGATCCCAAAGAACACAGCACACACGAAGTCCGTACAAACCTTAGTTTACTAATTTAAATCAGTCTTTTCTGAACAAAGGCTGTTAATTTAACTTCATTAACAGCCGACAAGAATCCAAAGAATAATAAATCTATTCTGAGGCACAATATTTCAGATAACTGTAATCTTACTGTGGTTGGCAGAATGCCCAGAAGCAATTTGCAGGAAAACTGCAAGAGAAACGAGCTGAATCAAGATGCGAAGGAGTGGATGAAGTTGTTTCCTGCAAATTGCATCAGTCGTCGTCCTTCCTTAAATAGGCTAGGGAAGTGGCCAATTAGCCCCAAGCCTTACTCTCGAGGAGACCTCCTCCTGAGGAGCCACTCCTGTCTTTTTGCAGCTCTGCGCGCTCATGCATCAAGAAGAGGCTCCTCCTCTTCTTCCTCTTCACTTATGGGAGCTTCTGGAGGTTCTGAAGGCCCTGGCTGAATCCCTGCCTCTGGCACCACATCTTCTCCAGCCTCATTGTCTGACTGGAGTGCCAACTGCACAGGCTGCTGGCGCAGCACCACACCAGCCTTCTCGCTGTTGGAATCAGCTACTAACTGCACAGGCTGCTGACGGGCCACAAGGCCCGGCCTGTGCTGCCTCGGCCCAGCCCAGGGTTAATGAGCGCCAATGTACAACCTGGTGGTGGCCATCCAGGTTGGAATGCAGCCAGCCTTAGATCCGGGTCCTGGAGCCCGAGAGAGGCTGCCCCCACCCTACCCCCTGGACATGCACATAGGAGGCGGGTGAGTGTGTGCAGGGCCTGGCGTCCCTGGGCACCATTTTGCCCTGCAGGCTGACTGCATTCTGAGAGCTTCCCTTTCACCCAGGACTCCAGCACTCACGCACTTGATGCCTCCTGTGTACCTGGCAGGGGGCGGAGCCGAGGTGTCAAGGCGTCCCCACAGGTTGGATCTAAGGCCAGATGCAGGAACCCGGTGATCCCGGTGATGGGAAAAGTGGGTAGCAGGCTTGCTGGAGGTCAAAATTTGAGGGAGGGGGCCGAGTGCGCAGGGCTGCAGCGTGGCAATGACGGTGACCATCTGGGCTACCTCACTGCAACCCCACCATCTGTCTTTGCTCATGTCTGCCATGGCTGTGACAGAAGAGGTGACTGCACAGAAGCCCGGTGTATCTGGCAGGCCTTGTGGCCGCCCAGTCCGTCTGGCAGGCTGGATTGCGTGCCTCTGCCTGCTGCTTGGAGCGTCAGCCTGGCAGTCGCGGGGCTTGGACCAGTGGTGGATTCCAAAAATTTCTATTACCGGTTCTGTGGGTGTGGATTGCTTGGTGGGCATGGCTTGGCAGTCATGTGACTGAGTGGGCATGGCCAACTTGATGTCACTCATGGCCACTCAGTCACATAACCTCCCCACCTAGCCATGCCTAAAGAAAAAGGTAGGAAAGTTATTTGGATTTCTACCTATCTACTTATTTTCTGCCCAGGCCTGGCCTAATCTATCAAAGGCCTTCTCCTGCATGCTGCCCTGCCCTCCCTTCACCAGTCACATGCATCACCCCATTTCTCCTCCTTCAGTGGCCCCGGCCCTAGGCCTGCTTCCTCCCCCACCGTCTCTTTCTTCAGGTTGCTTACCTTCCTCCCGCGGCAGCTGGTCCGGAGTCTGGAAGACAAGCTGACCTCCAGTAGTTTTCAATAGCCTCCAGCCAGAAAACTACTGGAGATCGCAGAAAAAGCTGCTGCCGTCGCCACCCTGTTCTTTGCGCTGGCCGCACATGCACATCCCATTACCTGCTGCATTGCACAATGGGATGCGATGGCAGCGGCTTTTTCGGCAACCTGCAGCCAGCTGCAAAGAGCCTCTCAAAGACGGCTTTTTCTTTGCCAGCCGCTTCCTGGCAGTCTCCCAGATGCTGCCTCTTTGCCAGCCGCTTCCTGGCAGTCGTGCAGGCAGCTGGGGCAAGCGAGCGGCAACCAGGCTACCGGTTTAGGGGCGTGGCCAGCCAGCAGTTGCTACCAATTCAGTGACCCAGGCCAAATCACCGCTACCAGTTCATCTGAACCAGTGTGAACCAGTAGAAACCCACCACTGGCTTGGACCCACCTCAGCTGTGGAAGCTGCGGAGTCCCAGCTGCCTCTTGGGGATGGGGGCTCCCTGGCTTTCCTGTTTGCTGGAGCCTTCGCAAGTGGGTCGGGTGGGCAGGGCGGGTGGCAGGCCTGATGGAGGATGAGGTTTGATGACAGGGGCCAAGCGTGTAGGGGCTGCAGTGTGGCAATGATGGTGACCTGCTGGCTGCCTCGCCACAACCCCTCTTGTTTTTGCTCCTCTGGTGGATCTCACCCTGGCATCAGCTCTGGTCCTGCCCCCTTCCTCGAGAGACCCCTCTATCCCCACCAGCCATGCCCAATCACCATGCGCCCCATGATGCGAGCGATGTTGAGCTGGCTATGCCCACCCATTGGGCCATGACCACCCAGCCATGCCCACCCCAGCCACGCCCACCCCAGCCATACCACCGGTCCGCCGAGGGCAACCACAATGCTGATGCGGCCCTTAATGAAATTGAGTTTGCCACCCTTGCCTTAAACCTGTGATGGCGAACCTATGGCATGCCATATTGGAGCCATCTTGATGGGCATGTGAGCTGGACTCTGGCGTGCATGTTTGTGCCCGCCAGCTGATTTTTGGGTTTTCTGGGCCCACCGGAAGTCAGGAAACACAGTTTCCGGCCTCTGGAGGGCCTCGTTTTTCGCTCTCCACAGCCAACAGAGCCTTTCTAGGAGCCTGGGGAGGGCAAAAACGGCCTTCCCCACCCCTCCGGAGGCCCTCCAGAGGCTGGAAATGGCCCATTTCCCGACTTCCAGTCCCACCAGAAGTCTGGTGGCCCACCGTGCCATCGCATGCCAAAAGTAGGGGGAGCATGCGGGCATGTGCATGGAGCAGGGCACATAGAATTATGGGTGTGGGCACATGCGTGCATGACCTGCCTGCACTCCCCCCACTTTTGGCACTCAATGGCAAAAAGGTTAGTCATTACTGCCTTAGACTATAGGACTGAATAGATTTGTGACAGCAGAAATGGATATTCTTGTCTGTTTTTATTCAGGAAAATTTCACATCCAGATTATTACTGTTTCCCTGTCCCTCAAATGCAGTTTAAAGTGACTTTGTGTTCATCTTCAGTTCTGCCAATTCAGAACAGAGATTCTGCAAGGAATGAATATCCTGAGCCAGGAGGGTGTGAGAATTGACACTCACTGTCCCACCCATGAGTTATTGCAGATCCTGAGGTGGCAAAAAAAAAAAAAAATCCCCTCACCCTCCTTTCCATTCCACGAACAGGAAATTCAGTCAATTGCCAGCACCCCTCCTCCATTTCTAATTCATGTTGTATCTGTGTATTTGGTTATCGGCAAAGAAATCCTTCAGGGTTGCTATGATGAAAAACCTTCTGCAAAGCTGCCTTGCCTTTTCTTGCAACTTGTGAGGGAGAAAGGAAAATGTGTCGCCATTTTTGCAAAGGGATCTTTTTCTACAATAGGCAGATTAGGGGGAATAGATTGTGAACAATGCCTCTTCACATGGGCCCCAGGAACAGGACACCAAAGGTCAGGGCTGAGAGGTAGTGAGATGTAATAGTTCCCACAATGGGAAAAGAAATAGCCACATAGTCTGTGGCATTGCACCATCCCAAGCAAAAAAACCAACTGTGTTGCGAAGCTAAACAGGAGGCTAAAACCATAAACGAAACCAGAGGAGGAAACAATTAACTAGCTCTAGGTAGTGTGTTTTATAACAAGAAAACCAGTTTCCAGGAACAAGGACATTGTTCTGAATTTTTGTAAGCAACTTCAGTATCTGGCAAATAATTTTGATTTTCATGCAATACCCCCCCCCCCCCCCGGGATCCTTGGACCACACTTTATGGAGGACTGTTTTAAGCAACCTTGACAATAATTATCTAATCTCTGTTTGAATCTGGGGGAGTGGGAACTCTACCATATTTTTACTATTCAAATATATCTACCTTGCTGCAATTAAAGGATTGGAAATGAGGCACCCAGAGCATCTCAAAAATAAAAGCATCCAAGGCCTTCAAATAATAATATAAAAGATTGTCCACATATATTTTTAAGCTTTTAAAATGTTCATTTATGGCACCTACAAAAACAGAAATGCTCCCCATCCAAAACAACTGCAAACCTTCCTTATAGTTGAAGAACATAACTGGATTTTTGGAAATTGGGAATTCTGGAACTTGTAACCCCAACATATTTGGGAATATCAGGAATGAAATACATTTTTAGTTTTAAAAAATTCCTTTTAAAATTTAGTTTAAAATGCCATTGTTATAAGAACTTAAAGAAAATGGGTGGGATGGTACAAATCTGGCTAATTATAATTAATTAACATAATTGTTCAACTATAGAACCATAGCTCTAAGCTATGGTTAATGGTTAAAAGCTAAGCCAATCATAAAGTGATTGACTTAGCTTTTGCTTAATGTACTATAAAAATTTTGTCAATTGTGGTTTATTACCCTGTTTCCCCCAAAATAAGACATACCCTGATAATAAGCCCAATCGGGCTTTTGAGCGCATGGCAATAAGGCCACATGCTTATTTCAGGGTTCAAAAAAATATAAGACAGGGTCTTAATTTCAGGAAAACACGGTAAATAAACCCTGGATAAGCTACAGATGAGCATAAATAAATCCTGGTTAAGCTACAGATTAGTATATGTGTATACTCATACTGGTATTATTAGCTCATTATTTAAAAAAATAACTAAAATATGTTTCAAAGTCCTTGTTTCATTTTTTTATGAAATATTGTGATATCATTAATTATGGGAAGGCCAGTTTGGAGCTGTGGTTAAAGTGCTAGTTTAGAAAGTGGAAGGCTATGAGTTTAATTTCTTAGGTAGGGTGAGGCCAGTCACTCACTCTCAGTCAAAGCCATCTCATGGGTTGTTCTTTCTTGGGGAGTAAGGAGATGGTAGCATAATGTATGCCACCTTGAATTCTATAAAATAAAAGCAGGATGTAAATTTAATAGTAATAATTGTACTTAAATATTTCTTCTGATGTTACTACATTGAATAGCAAATAATTTGTTTCCATTAACGTTTATCTAAATCCTTTGGAGATTAACTCTACCAGTTAAAAATTGTGCACTTCTACCACTAACTTGAAGTAGGTATTAGTCTCATGAATTCAATATGCAAAGAATTGCACGGCACATTAGCATTTGATTTGTCAGGTAACATCTGGTGGCTTGAATTACTTGCTTTTGCATAATTACTTCTGGTATTTGGCAGCCTGACATCAGTATCTAGGAAGATCTTGGAAAGATAATTAAGGAGCCGTATTTGTGATCACCTAGAAACAAACAAGACAATTACTTGAAGCTAGCATGGGTTTGTCAAAACAGACCATGACAGACAAACCTTATTGCCTTCTTCGGCAAAGTGACTAAATTAGTGAATAAGGGAGATGCTATGAACATAGTTTACTTAGATTTCAGTAAGGCATTGGACAAAGTAGACGAAAGCCAACTTCTTGGTAAGATAGAACAATATGGGATAGACAACCTAATTGCTAGCCAGTTGCAGCTGATTGACAACCACACTTATTGTGTAGTCCTCAGTGGAACTACATCTACATGGAGGGAAGCTTGCCATGGGGTACCTCAAGATTCTATCTTAGGCCCAGCATGCTTTAAAATCTTCATAAATGATCTAGATGAGGGGATAGAAGGGGAAATTCAAATCTGCAGACAATAACAAGCTAGGGAATAGCTAACACTTTAGATGACAGACTCAAGATTCAGAAGGACCATGATAGATTTGAACAATGGGCCTATCCAACAACATGCAATTCAGTGGTGAGAAAAAGTAAGGTTCTACACATAGGCAATAAAAATCAAATGCACAGATATAGAATAGGTGGTACCTGGCTCAGCAATAACAACTGTGAAAGGGATCTAGGTCAGGGGTGGGTTCTACTTACCTTTACTACCGGTTCGCAATGGGACAGAGCGCGCTTCTGCGCATGCGCAGATCACCAAATGTGACATCAGGGCGGGTGGGCGGAGCCTCCTGCCGTTTTTACTACTGGTTTTCAAGAACCGGACAGAATCAGGAACAACCCACCACTGATCTAGATGTCCTAGTAGCAATACCACTTAGACTTATATATTGCTTCACAGTGCTTTAGAGCCTCTCTAAGTGGTTTACCACTTATCTTTACTACCGGTTTGCAGCGGGATTGCACGTGAGCTTCTGCGCATGTACAGATCACCAATGATGACATCGTGCCGGGTGGGCGGAGCCTCCCACCGCTTTTACTACCGGTTCTATAGAACCGGGAACAACCCACCACTGGTTTACAGAGTCAGCATATTGCCCCCAATAATATGGGTCCTTATTTTACCAACCTTGGAAGGATGGAAGAGTGAGTCAACCTTGAGCTGGTGAGAATTGAACTGCTGGCATTGTGTAGATCACCATTTAAGTATCAGTCAGCAATGTGCTGCAGCTGCCAAAAAAAGCTAGTGCAGAAATAGGATGTATCAATAGAGGGATAGTTTCAAGATCACATTCAGTGATAGTACCGCTTTATATTGCACTGGTGATACCATACTTGTAATAATGCATCCAATTCTGGTCACCACGATGCAAGAAAGATGTTGAGACTCCAGAAAGAGTGCAGAGAAGACTAACAAAGATGATAAGAGGTCTGGGGGCTAAACCATATGAAGACTGATTGAGTAAAACTGGGTATGTCTAGTCTAGGGTGGAATATATTAAAGAGAGATTCAATTTAGAACTAAGGAGAAATTTCCTGACAGTGAGAAAATTAATTAGTGGAAAGGCTTGCCTCTGGGGGTCGTGGGTGCTCTATCACTTGAGGCTTTCAAGAATACACTGGAAAGCCATTTGTCCTGAATGGTACAGGATCTCCTGCTTTAGCTGGAGGTTGAAGACTCCAAAGTCCCTTCCAACTCTATTATTCTATGTTCGTGTTCTAGACAATGACATTTAGTATTGAAGATACAGCATTTGTAATTTGAAATGCACAACATATTAAGGTTTTAAATACTTACAAATGATAGTAGTTTGCTTTCTACAACGCAGAGCCAAAATGAAATAAATTACATAATAGCTTGGTGAAATAAATGTAACTTAAGTCAGTCCTAAGACATTACCTCCGATATAAAAGGAGCCAAGACAGCAGCTATTTAGAGTTTGGATGACAGAGTAAGGTAAAAATAAAAGAATATACAGTAATTCAAAATGGCACTAACACATACTTGCTAGCTGTTTCTAATGAAATAAGAATCCTTAAAGCTATTTAAAGATTCCACTAAATATAAGACAACTCTCTAGAACAAAATTAGCAAGCTTTGAACAGGAAGAAATTGCCAATCTAAATGAATCATCATAATGAGAAGTCAGCCAACCTCAGAGAACCACTTAAGAAGACTAGGTTTTTGGTTTTCCTAGTTTGGAATATGTGTCCTTTGCCTCCTTGCAGCTAATATCAAAAATTAGATATATCCTAAATTACTTCCTTGATACTAATCTTTGTCCTCCCACTAATATTGCAATTTAACAGAGAAACCTACTCAAGTAATCTTGATCTACACACCAAAAAACGTGTGGGATAAATGGGACTAACTTCAGGAAAATGAGTTCTTAAGTTAGTTTCAATCATGGGTGACTTCCCCAAAAATGGTTGAAATGCAATTAAATTAGTAGCCAGCAATCCTTTCTACAGCTTTCTACCTAAAGCTTTTTATAAGATATACTTAAAAATTACCATTTTAGTGTAAATTTCTAAATTTAGTAGAAAACTGTAAGCAATGAATTACATACACAATTATGTATACATATACATTTGCCTGTGTATGTAGCAGCAGCTATGTCATACCTGTGACTTACAAATACACAGCATTGTTCAGTTACACATTTCGTTAAGCAACTTTTGATCTAATGATTAGATTTGTAGCCTCCCCCCATTTTTATCTCTGTCTTGTCCATCCTCTTGCAGGAAGCTACCAGGATGTCCTGGAATTTTGGCTCTTAGCTGGATTATCCAATTCCTTCCAGACAAGTCAGATAAACAAATCTGGCATTTGGTCAGCAGCTTTTGTGGGTTTCAAACAGATGTTTTTCACCAATCCTATGGGAAATACCAGGGACTCAATATGGGAATTTCTTTCAAGAGAAGTGCTTTATCACTGCTTTTCAGCTACAGACCATTTCAAAGCAAGATTGTGAAAACATAACCGATAACAAAAAAATCACTGTAATTCAGAGCTACCTTAATGCAGTTATGCCCACTTAGCAATTACTCCACATGAAAGGAGAAATAACCTGGTCTTTATGAGGCAAATGCTTTTGAGAGAAAACCAGAAACACAGGCTGAGTATCCAGCCTTTTCCATGTTTGGAAAAGTGCAACATAGCATCCAAACAATTCGCTTCTGTGCAGTGTTTTACTGCAAAAGGACGCATCCAAGTTTTGAACAAGGGGCTTGATTTTCCATCTGATCCAGCCATGTCTGCCTTCTATCCTCCGATCAGAAAAACAGCCGTGGCTGTAATGATGCATTTCTGCGTGCACACTTCTTTTTACAGCTTTTGCTTTTCTGGAGACGCTTTGATTTTGCGTAAAGTTTGCACCAGAATAAATTCGTTTGCGAAGTGATAAGAGAGCACTACACCTTTTGCGACGCCAGATGGTCACAGCTCCCTACAAAAACCCAAAATCGCGACCGCACTTTTTGCATACAAAACTTCCTACTCCATTTTGCCTTGGGGGCGCGAGCCGACGAGGCGTGCATTCAGTATACCTGCTTGTCTACCTGGGACCTCAGCCAAGACAAAAAGCGAACTACTTGAGCGGAGGCGAAGAGAGAGAGAGAGAGAGAGAGAGAGAGAGAGAGAGAGAGAGAGACACCGGAGCCGCTGCCTGGCAGTCCCACCAGGGCCTCTGCCTCGTTTGCATACTGCCCAATCAGCGGTCGGGAGAGAATGACGACGCTCGCTTGGGAGCCGAGGAGGGCGTGGAGGTAGGTGTCGATGGGCGATTGAGTACGCCTGGCCGAGATTCTCCTTCGCAACCGGCGACTGTCCACCCGTGCCTGCTTGGAGCGAGGAGGTCGGCTAGCCGGCTGAGGGCTCGGTGCTCCATTGCTCCTCCCTGGGATGCCGCCGGGGCTGAAGGAGAAGCCGTGCACGGGGCGACGGAGCTCCGAGTGTGGGTTGGGAGCGGGACGCCGAGCAAGCTCGTCCCAGGAGGCGGCCTCGGGATGGAGCAGCGGCGCGCTTGCAGTCAGTGACCGGGAAGGGGGCGGGCCCCGCCAGCCGGGCCAAAGCTGTAGTGAAAGACCGAGGAAGTGACGGGCTGAAGGGGCTTTGGTCGTGGCTGACCCCGCCGTGGGGCGGCGGCAGAAGCAGCGGCAGCAGCGGATGGAGCACCCCGGGGAAGGAGGAGATTCTTGCTTGGAGCGGCTGAAGAATTCTCTACCCGGACCCGCGGACCTCGTCGGGGCGGCCAGCACTCTGGAGCGGATCCTAAGGGAATCGGTCTGTCAGCGGCAGGGCTGGATCCGGGTCTACGGTAAGGGGAAAAGCCTTCCCCGCCCCACACGCGCCTCTTTCCTGGCTCTCCCGCGCCTCTTCTAACTCATCTCTCCAGCCTCCCCTTCCCATCCCTTGCTGTACTTAGTCCGCGTTGGCTGCAAAATTTCCTTCCTTCCCATCTCCCTCTCCTGCCGAAGGACAAAGCGAAGCGGATGGATTCCCATCTCCCCGGGCTAGCTAGGGTGGCTCTTCCCCCCCCCCACGAGTTCTTTCCAGCTGGGGTGAAGGGGGATTGGGTTGCTTCACCTGATTTCCCCATCCTTTCCACTCGCGGTTCCATCCCTTCGTCCTGGAGCATCGGCAGGTATCCACCTCGCCAACTTCCCTTTCCAAGCCAGCCAGCTTTTAAAATATTGCAGTTAGAGCGTCTCTGCTCTGAAGGATTTTCTCCCCAGGACTGTCAAGAGCTTTTTAGTATCTGGCTGTAGCTGCTGCATGCAGGTGGAAGTAAAGCAGAAAAATTCTGTACCACTTTCTGACACACCTTAACCAACTGCATAACCCCACCCTGGCTCCTCTATGCAATAGTCCTTGCCTCTGCTTTGTTCGGGATACCTTCAGGCATATTATTAATGTGGCAAGATAATGCTTGCTTTTGGAACATCAGTGGGTCTCATTTGTCTGGTTTGTGAATCACCTTTATTGCCCTGTTTTTAAAGGGATGCCATTTACTGAATCCTCTGCTTCCAACCCAGCTTTTGGAAACAGTTGCTTTATTATTCTGTGCAGTTGTGAAGTGCAGGCACCCTCATGGTTCTCCCTCCTTTTTACCCATATAGCCATTTTGGCTTTATTTCTTTATACAGGGCAGGAATTATAATGATTTCTAAATTCAGTAGTATACTTTGGCATGAGTGGTGGCAGTTATCTCTTAAAATGCTGAAGTGTCTTATAGCTTGCAAACTTTGGGTTTGAATTTTGTTTTAAAAGAATAACTCCCTTTGATATGAATACTTTCTTTCTCATGAAGATATTAGGACATATTTCCCCCTTTTGATACTTCGTTTATAATATGTAGGTTTCACATTTTATACAGAATATCAGAGTTAGAAGGGACCTTGGAGGTCTTTTAATCCAACCCTTCTGCTGAAGCAGGATATCCTATACCATTTTGGACAAATTGCTGTCCAATCTATTCTTAAACATCCACAAATTCAGAACGCAAGCCCTTCCACTGATCAATTCTCACTGATAATTAATTTTGTACAGTATATGTTTTCTTGTGTGTCACATGCTTGTGCTGTATTTGTTACATTTGTTGGGATGTGATTAATTGCTAATCCAAGGTTTAAGATGGTGCCTCAATGCTCTGCTGCTGTTTATCAAAATATAATGTAATGTGAATAATGTTTTAATAGTATGTGTGATTACCACTTTCTGGCATCAGTTGTTCCTCTTCATGCCTTTAAGAAGTAATTCCTTTCTTTTCAGCATTGTATTAATACCTTCCTCCTCACCTCTCAAGTTCAGAAGTATTATTGTTTATATTTGTTGCCATATCTCTATATAGCTATGCCATTGGATCCAGCAGCAGGTGGAAATACTGTTGAATGGCCAAATTTATTTTGTGTTTGAATTGCTTCTGGATTTGGCGAAATTGTAACCACATGTTCATAATCCAAGATAAGGCTTTATTACTAATATTAATTTAAGGGAGTTTCCATATTTGAACCTTCAATAGTTTGAAGGCGTTCAAATTTGTCTTAATTTCTAATACTGAAAACAAGAGAAAATGACTATGCTGCCTCAAATTGCTGCAGTTGCAGCAATAAATTCTTCATTCTGTGCAAAAGAGAAGGAAAGGGAAAAAGAAAAAGACTGTACCTCTGGCACTTTTTACCTCTTTTGACAATTTCTGCTCTGTTTGGTCTAAGTGAAGGGTAGGTGCAGTACCATTACGTTGCTCTTAGAGTCTTTCTCAGGATCTAAAGTTCAGGAATTGGAAAGAGGAATAAGGAAGTGGTTTCTCCAATGGGAAATAAATAAATCACAGTGTCATAAAATAAGTATTTAAAGCTAGCTTTGCATCAAATTAAATATGTAGCATTTAAGAAGAAAATAAATCGGTTTAGCTCTCTGGCTAACAGTGGTGAAACACAGAAACCTGAAAATGATCTCAAACTGATGCCATTCTTGTGTAGCTTTTTAACAGCATAATTGCTCAAAAAAGTAAGTTCAATAGAATTTACTTTCAGATGTGAATATAGATTCATGGGATTTTTAAAAAAAGACTGGTAGGGAATCATTATTTTAGAATATTCTAAAATATGAAGGTGCTTAAAATGATCAGCAAGCTGACCATTGTGCTAATTTTGAATAAATCAGTTATTCACTTGAAAGCAATGTGAAAACATTATGATCTGAAATACTATCAGCTTGGGATCTGTATTTAAGCCCTGGTGTTTATAAGAAATCAAAACAGGACCATTTTGTTTGACCAGTCTTGACCCACCCACCCACAGATACTGCTTCTCTTTTGCTGTGCCTGCTTGTCCTCTGTGATAGGATGAGTCCCCACTTTATTAACAGTTCATAAACAGCTCAAAACAGAATTATTTAGAATAATGTTTGTGCTGAGATTATTATCATTTACTGGATTCTTTTTATTTATTTTTGAGGTCTTGCATTTTGCATGCATATTTTTCCAAGTTATTCCATTTACAGGTTATTACACTGTGAATATTTTAATGAATTGGATGACGTTGTAAATTGCCAAGAGACATTTGACTGTGGTAGGCGACAGATTTAATATATAAGTATGAATGGGCAGAGTATAAACCTCATTTTCTTCTCTTTCCAGATGTAGTTTGGATTATTATTAATGACCTCTTGAAGATTTTGCCATTGTTCATCATGTGCTTACTGACTTGCATTCATTTGGTATCTATATTTATAGCAAAGGTTGTTGAGAGACTGGAAAAAGGATGTCAAATTCTTTAGTGATCTGGCTGATGTACAAGACTCAGTGTTATTTCCTATTTCTTTTTCAAGCCTTCCCTGGTATGTAACCTCCTAAAATAAATCTGTATTAGTATGCCTCGCCTATTCCCATACTCAGATTTTTATAGCCTCATGTGTTCTCTGTGATAAAAATGCATCATGATTCAATCTTAAAACCAGCAATTTAAGATAGTGAATATTGCTTTTATGCCTGTTTTGTTCCAAACTATGTTAGACTACACAGTCCTTTCCCTCTGAGGGAGCAATTCACTATTTATTTCCTTGTTTGTTATGCAAGGGAAGCTAATACAAATGTTTTGCTGAACACTAAAATATTACTGGACTTCCAGGCACTGCTGAAACATAAGCTTGGGCAGTTGCTGCCAAGTGAAACCCAGACAATAAGGGAGATGAAATGAGTACCCTGGTAATATTTATTTGACTAGGTCTTATTACTATAAAAGTGTGGTAATATCATGTATACTTCTAGGCAAACTGCCATTAAAAAAAATTGCAATTTGTCACTATGTTAGATTAAAATTATTTGTCTCCATAGCAGGGCCGGATTTTCCTATAGGCTAACTAGGCTTCAGCCTAGGGCCTCAAGATCAAGAGGGGCCTACATTCAAATTGTTAGCAAAATTAAAATTACACTTTCACTATAGGTGAAAGGGCCTCATAAGTGGAATAGCCTAGGGCCTCTTTTCATCTAAATTCCGGCCCTGCTCCATAGAATGGAATGGCCACTATTGACTTCTACGGAAAAGGTTTTAGATGCTGTAAGCAGTGTCAAAAGTAAGGGAAGCCAACTTTTTACTTTAAGCATATCTACAATACTTTAGGTCAATATTTTTTTAAAGTGCGGTCCAAGGACTTCTGGAGGCTCCCAAGACTCTCTTAGGGTTCCGTGAAATAAAAATTATTTATCAGATATTAAAGATTGTAAAAGTTTAAGAATAAAAAGTTCTCATTTTTATTCTTACTTTTGATTTGTTAAAAAAAATAGGGCTTTTCCATGAAAAATATGTTAATATATTATGGATTTAATTGTATTATTTTTACATGATTTAATAAATATTCTACAAATGTGTCAATTGGGAAGTGAGACAAGGTCCTGAGAACAAAAAGTTTAAGAAGCCTTAGGATATGTTCTGGCTCAATAGCACTGGCTATGGCTGCTCTTTTTCATTTTCATACTTAATTGAGCCCCTTCATTAATTTGCCTGAAAGGGAGAAAGAGCCCGTTACTAAGAATGCCTAAGAAAGGCTGCTCTCTATCCCAGAATTGATGTTTCCACTATCCTGGGGTAGAGGTTTCCATTCTTTTTCCCTCCATAATCTGTACCTGAATCTCTGAATCTGCCTTTGATAGAACATGATTGACCGTTTCTCTGAAAGGAAAAGAATAAGGGTGAGAACCACAACTCTTTCCGTGGACCAGAATTAAGAAGTATTCCATTATCCCTTCCTGGTTTGTTGACAATGAATTCCATATCGCTAAAAGTCCTGTGGGGTTCCTGTTGACATATGGAAAGGAGTTATAGGAAAAAACAGCCTGGATATAAATTATCAAAAGAACCTTCTCTGATAACTCTCATAGAAAAACCTAAGAAGCCATAAGTTCTTGCTTATAATTATCTTATTATTATTATATGAATTCTTGTCCTTTCTTCCTAGCAGAATGGAATCCTCACCACCCTCCCACTCCAGCGTTCAAGAGCTTTCTATCTTTTTTTCAGTTATCACTGATAAAGAGGTTGCAGTCCCCATAGTTAGGGGGAATCCAATAGCAGGCTTTCATTGCATTTGCTTTTTCCATGTTTTCTCTTGCTGTGAATTAGAATGATTGTCAGGCAATGAACTAGTTCACTTCACAAAGTTATAATTAGTTCTGTGCTTTTGGGAAATTCAGTGTTATTTCTGAATAACCACGTATTCTCAGACACAAACATTAGAAACATTAGCAATTGAGTGCTGAATATTCCAAAATTAGCTACCATGTAAGATGTTGATGAATCTCGGTATCCTGCACATTGA